GCAACAATGTGTGGAAATACGTAGACGATCGAAAAATCATAGACGAAACGAGAAACGTGAAGGATGGAAATATTTTTGTCCAGCCGATCCAATCTTTGAAATTTAACTATTAACAAGGTTCGCATCAAACGATTTTAAAGCATTCTCGTTAGTTAGTTTTTATCATAAATGAAACAAATTATATTTATATTTATCGTTTAATAATAATAATAATAATAAACTATTTTTAAATTTTTAAAAGCAAATTGATTGATAATTACAATTTTTCATAGCAAATTTGCGAAAATTATACATTTATATATGTATTCTTACAATATTTTGATATTTAACGATCAATATTGTTAAGAATAGCAATATATTTCAAAGTTTTCTATCTTATATACTTTTGTCCCTTGATACCAAAACAGGAAATATCAATACGAGTAATGGATGCAAGGAAGGTTTAAAAGAAAACTATTAGTTTTACGGTCCTCTTCTTAGTAATGGTAAATGCTCGCAGATCCAGTTCCAGGTAGAATTACAAAAAGAACAGATAATAATACAACCAGTTTTAGTAGGCGATACCACTTAGTTCGATAATCGATCTTTAGCTAATGAGATATATATCGATAAGCATGATCGTGAAAAATATATTGGTAACTAAATACTAAATGTTGTAAATGTTAAAAATATCAAAAATACGAAGAATAATATATTACTCTCGCAAGACACAATTCCACAATAATCTTAATGGAATTCATCGTTCAATAAACGTAAGGATAAAAAAGTTTAAATTGTATCATTTTTAAATTTTCATTTTTTTTTTTTTACTCGAATAGAACTGAAAATATATAATGTACTACTAAAATATAAAAATTTATAGAAAATTATAGAAAATAATATAAAATATATGGTGATATGTCACTAATTTTTTTCGTAAAGTTTCTAAAAAAAAAAAAGGATGTAATCGTTTAAAATTTGCAAAGAAAATTATTCGAAAATATTTTTATGCTTCCGATGTATAAGCAAATTCTAAGAAGAAAACCGAAAAACGAATATAAGTACACGTATGAGTACAGCGATATTCTTAGATGAAAATCGAATCCTTCAAACGAGAGCGAGCGATTTGTATGACGACGACTGCTACAGAGATACGCTTTCGCGAATAATATTTTCAATTACGAATATGATACGATAATAATTGAAAATATATTTTTTATAAAATATAAAAAATAAAATTAAAATATTTTTTATAAATTAAATTATAATTTTACCGATGGGTAAAATACAATATATTCATATTGTAAGAAAAAAATTAAAATTAGCGAATTTTGTAAATAAATAAATATTATTATATAATAAAATATGGATAATATTTTCGAAGGAATCAAGATTCTACAAGATTCCTTTCAAAGGTATTTATCGTAGAAAAGTGACGGCGGATTTCAGTATTGGAGAATCACTAATAGCGTTTTTTTCACGAAAGGAAAACGGTGAAGTTAAATAGTCAAATAGTACTTTCACTACAAACCAGGCCTATTTAATATTTGTCTTCTTACCTCGTTCGTACACGAAACATCTCGCGTATAAATCATATAAAAATAAATTTCCACGATGATGCTTGAAACTTATGGCAAATATTTTTAAAATTTGTGTTACACGATAATATGCGATAATATGCGATTATATTATACAGTTATTCGTATTAATATTTTAATTCTTATTTCAATTGATTCTAAATTTATTTCTACATTTCTATATGATAACATGTATCGTGTGAAGAAATAGAAATATTTTTTTATTTTCCTATTTTTATTTGTTTAATATCACATCGTTTGAATATCTTGATTAAAATGTATTTCAGAAATAAATATCGAAAGAATTCTCTTCATATACAATACAATTGATCATATTTTTAATAACCTGTTATATTAGATATTTTATACAAGATTATATTCGTATGTATATATATATTGGTAAAGATAATCTGATTTTAATAAATATTTATTATATTATTTTCTCGGTACAGGGAATAATTTTACGTTGGAAAATAAGGAAAATAAAATACTTAGATCAATGATTTTTGTTAACCGAATAAATATAAGCAAAGTGTACGTATTTTTATTATATAATATTATATTATATAATATGTTTAAATAACATTATATTATATATATAATAATTTTAATATTTTTAAATTATTAATATCATAAGATACTACACTAAGATATTCGAATAATTGGAATATCTTATCTAATTCGAAATTTATCTATAATAATGATATAGTTTTAGGCTGGCTTCGTTTTTTATAAAAAATTATTAACAATGATTTCGAATATTAACAATATAATTATTTTAATTATTTCAATCCTTTCGAAACACGATAAATCGTGCAAAAATTTGTCGAAACGAAATATCACATGCAAAATAATTGACACGTAGTCATAATCGTCGTAGAATATATATATGGTTAAAATACTATATACGAATATACAAAGAGTATGTAAACAGAGCGAAGAACGTTCTAACGCGAACTTACCAACTTTATTATCAATTTTGTTTTCGTCTTCTCTAGAATCGATCAACAACTGTTCATATACATTGAATTATTCGAAAGTTGGGGAAAATCTCGCGTAAGAAGGAGAGTAAGGAAGAAATATCGAGAGAAAAAATTAGATAAACGTAAGTAGAAATGTAGAAACGAAGGATGATCGAAGTAAGTAGAAGGAAGGAGTAACGAGCAGCTTGATATTCGTGGGACGCGGAGCCCGTCTGCGTATGGACGCGGAATAAATTATCCCCGAAGGTTTGTCCTTCTCCATTTCTTATCCCGATCCTTCCCCCGACCATCTTTCTCTACGATCCTTCTCCCACTTCTTGTCTATAATGATTTCTGATTCGTAGTGGTGGGACGATACCGGAAGTGAAGTCAGAACGGCGGAACCAGACGTTCGCTCAATGGAAAGTTTGAGTCGTTTCAGTCGGTGCGAGAAGGGGCCGAGCGTGGATCGGAGTTCCGCTCGCGTGGAAAATCCATTTCTTTCCCCCGGCCACCACAGCCACCGCACATTCCCGCTCGCGACTCACGCGTGTACGGAAGAAACTCGTCCAAGAACCGGAGAAACTCGCGTATATCGCGACTTGGCTCGGTCGCCAAACGCGAAAAAAAATCCCCCCTTCGGTGAAAGACGAACGAACGATCGATCTCGTTCGAGTATATACCATTCGATCGTGCTTCCCTCTAGGTCGGATTGATCTAACGTTTCTTTCGATCTTAAACAGAAGAGTGGTGAATCGACATTGAGACCACCAGTTGTGTTCTGTGCTTTCATCTTTGTTAATTAATAAATTTTACGAAAAAATAGTGGAGTGACACGCGTTTCCCTTTCACGAGGATCATCAGAATCCGGAGAAATGGATTTTTTTTCGTTCTATCGAGACGATTTTCTTGGAAGAATTTTACAAAAAATAGAGATGATAAAACGTGTAATGTGAATGTATCAATTTTTCAAGATGGGAAAAAGCATAACAATAGTCTACTAAACAATAGTCTTTTAAAATGAAACTATTAGATAAAATTTACGATATATTATAATTACGTTTCAACCGTTTTTTTTTTTTTTTTTTTTTTTTATAGAGAAAGTGTGCTAAATTTTTAATCAAAAGATTCAATTATTCGTTGCTCGAAAGTTTTATCGAAATAATACGAAGCTTTATGAAATTAAAATTACAAGTTGAACTTTGTTTATACGTAGAATTTCTCTTATAATAAACAGGTTCGTATAATCAAATTTTAGAAATAATAGAAATTCCTTTGATTTTATCGATCCATAACGAAATTAAGAAAGAATTCGAATTTGCAGAGGGAATAATTCATTGCTCGATGAATTACTTTTTTATTTATTTTTGTATATATATATATATATATATACGAAATACATATCAAGATGATTTGCCATTTTTTTCAATTTTTGTTAAATTTCATACGATATAATTCATCGAAACGTCTTTATAAAATCTAAAAAAGATTAGTGGACGATAGAAAAAAAAAAAAAATAAAGACACAAATGAAGATAATTGCATCGTTTTACGTTTTTTTTTTTTGCAACGTTCACGAGATTGTGCAATTCTATTCGAGACTCTATCCTGATTCGCGAGCAAAGACGAAATATGTTGGTTTACCTCGAATGTAAGGCGTAAATAGGGAGGGAGAGTTTCAATTACGAAAAGGAAGGAATTGAGAAGCCGCGTTTCACCGATTAGTTGCATGATTGGCGGTTGATTTTCAGCATTTTCGAGACGAGATAAAAGATACTTTCACTTGGATGTTCCACGATTAAAAAACGACAAGAAATAACATCGTTGAATGCGAAAAGAAGAAAGGGAAACTCGACGAAATAACGATAGCTATAGCGACACAGATTGCACGATGTGGAATGTTTATTAGAGAGGTGTTCGTTAAATGTGAATGGAAACAAGGTTTTGGTGGGAATTTGCGACAGTATTTTTCAGAAATGGTCAGCCAACACGCGATGGCCACTACGGTTCGCAAAGTGAAGCAGGAGAATCGTTTGAGGCGACAGAATTTGAACCAAGGTACTTGACGTGAGATATCCTAATAAAGGGAAAAAAATAGACCGCGCGTAAAATTTTAAAAAATAACGAGTGTTATCAGTCGGATTATTTTGACGATTTGTCGCTATCTCGTGTCAATTGCTCTTTCTTCCTTCGTTTCGTTTAGTTTTCTCTCGTTTCTCTGATTCGAACAAACAAAAGAAAGCCGACTAATATATTTGATAATAAGCATCTTATTTCCAAACTTTGGAATATTTTGTTTTTTTCCATAAGTTATAAACAATTATGGACGGAAATCAATATCGATACTATACACTATACCATTGACGGTCAATTTGGATAAAAGAAATTGAATTTTATGGAAAAATCTCGAAATTAAATTTTTCTATTTTATCTCTGCGTTCGTGTATCGCGAAGAATAAACGCGAACGAAATATTCGTTCCAGATGAGGAGGGATTTTACAAGCCTATACCACCACCGAAACCGGTGCCGAACAATCAAAAGATTCAGAACGGGCAACAGGATAGCAGGATTCAGACGGTAGCCGAGCAATCGTCGCGGACCGTCGTTTCCGGTGTAGAGAGGAGCACAACGTTAGACGAGAGCCAACTTCGAAGTTCCGGACAGAACGTTGCACCGGAATACAGGATGCCACCACTCTACGGAGAGGAACAGAGCTCGAGTCAAACTCAACAGCCGGCTAACTTGCAGACTCATAGCAGCAAATTTCCGGTAAGTTTCGAATACATTTATACACGTGAATATGGGGTGTTTCCAATTTGGAGAAATGGTAATTGAAAAACTATATCGAAGTCAATATACCGATATTAAACTAAACAAATATAAATTATGTATTTTGTTTAAGAATAACATTTCGTTCTCGTTAAAGCCACGTTTCGCCAACTTTTGATCGAATCGAAACTTCGAGTTATTCGAATCTCATTCTTGTTGATTAAAATTTCAATTTTTGTCGCATAAAATAAACGGTTGCTATTGAAAGTTGTTCGATATAAATAAAACACGGCAAAAATCAAAAATCAAATTTTTACGAAAGAAAAATTAGCTAATAATTTCGAGTTTAAACTTCGAGTTTAGTGCATCGATTGCAATATTGAATAACTTATATTTTTATTTGTATTTCTTCGTATATTCTTTCACACATGTAGAAACGTTGTTAAAATTTTAAGAAATTTTAAGAAAGATATGTTATAAACGAAAGAAGTACGTATAGTCTTATGGCGAGTTGTTCAAACTTTTAATCTTTTCGGTCTACTTGTGCTTACAAAGCACATCGAACCGTATCGGAATACATATATATGTGAAATATATACATATATGTATATATATAGATAAATGTTTAATAGTTGCTTGCTGATTATTACGTTTCTAACTAAAACATTTTTTACATATGAAAAAAAATTTACGTATTTTAATAACGTAAAAATGATTTTAGAATAATATTTTATTTCATATATTTTTTTGAAATTTCAAATTCTATTAAATATATTCTTCTTATGTAAAATTTAAATTTTATTATTCTATTTTATTATTATTATTCGAATAAAATATAAAATAAAAATTTTATTTAGAATCACGGATTAATTACATGATTCTATTATATTTGTATTGTATACACAAATGAAGAAGAAAATGTAAAGTGAAGAACAAATTTTATCTTTTAATATTACCGTATTAAATATATAGATCTTAAAATTTATGTCTAAGCGAGAACTTTATTCGCCTTATTAAAGAAGTTACTCTTAATGTAAAGTTTTATGGGAAAAGTACATTGATTTTTAATCCTTAAACTGTTGTCGACCAACTCTAAATATCTCAAATGTTACAAATATTTCATATTTTCGATTAATAGCCGATATCGAGTGATTTGATAATCTTCAATTAAATTGATCCTGGTATTGTCTTAACCTTCTATGTTTCTATGTTTTTTATTTCTTTATTGGGATATAATCAGGTTTTCATTGAACAATTAACATAAATATTTCTATTTCGCTATACTTGATCAAAATATAAAAAATTAAAATGTAAAACGTTAATGATCGACAATTATATATTTTTTCAAGTCTTCCACGAAAAATTATCATTCTATTTACGTTTACACGAATAATAAAATAATAAACTTTTGTTTTGAGTTCGAATGCAATTTCCAGCACACCTTGTATATATAACAGCGCAAGAATAGCACGAGCATAGAAAGAATAATGTAGGCGGTTCCGTGCGATGCAACCGCGCGTCACGGCCAGTGGTGGTGTGTTAATTAACGATGCACCGTGTCCATTAATTCCACGTGCGCGAAAAACGTGCGTGTCTGCGTGCACTGCCACGGTAGTTACATAGTTTCGCGCCATATACAAGCATCCACCGGTTCTGGAAACTTTTGTTATAGACGCGGCGCATAGGCGTGCCGCCGTTCAATTTTACTACCACCGATAACGTGACGGGTTCCGGAGGTGTAACGGGCTGAATATGGCGATTCCAGTCGTGGACTTTGATGCACCTTCGTGTACGGTGACTGGACTCGAGTCGATGAGAAAGAGAGAGAAGAAAAAGAAAAAGAAAAAAACAGCCACGGTTAGAAGTCAAGACATAGCGCTTTATTCGGTATGGTCTCCGCATCGACTTTCTAGCCTTCTTCTTCTTCTTTTTCTTCTTCTTCTTTCTCTTCTTTTTTTTCCTTTTCCTCCTCCTCCACCTCTTCCTTTTCCTTCTTCTTCTTCTTCTTTTTCTTCTTCTTCTTCTTCTTTATCTTCTTCTTCTTCTTTATCTTCTTCATCTTCATCTTCTTCTTCATCATCTTTTTCTTCTTCTTCTTCATCTTCTTCTTCTTTTTCTTCTTCTTTTATTCTTCCGATGTCGTTCCAAAACCAAGTAAAATCGGCGCGAGATTTTCCCTTCAATTGCGCTTTTCCTTTACGCTCAAAGTTGGATTTCGTTTAAAATTTTAAGGAATCAAAATCTAGGCTGCATATTTTAGATATTCGCTGTTTTATCTATTGTTTATAATAGCGAAACGTAGCGAATTTAAATACGAAATTGAACGTTATCGTTGGAATAATGATAGAACTGTACGAAACTTCTTATATGAATTCTTTGAGCAATTCATGAACTGTTATATTTCTTCAGATAGAGTTTTTCCCGATCTAGGTCATTGTTGGATTCATGAGGATTCGTAGTTGTTTACAACGGATTTCGCTGAAAACGTGACAAGTAGATACACGTATAGTATTGCTTAGGTGGTGGTACAAATGCAGTAACTGCAAAAAAGCGAGGTATAGACACATATAGAAGCTAGACTCGAAGACAATGCTACGTGTTGTTTCGATATGAATGATATGTTCTTCTTGTATAATATGTGAGATTTCAATTTTTTAAAAATGACGATATATCGACTGTATAAAAGAAAAATGAATGTATGAAATTAAAAATGTCTTACGTGATAACGAATAATAAAACGTGATAACGAAAATAAATAAGAAAAAAGAAATTAAATAATCATTGACACGTCAAAATGTATTTTGCGGTACATTTATGTTACTGCCGATAAACGAAACGACTTTTTTTCCAAAGTATTGCAAAGTTTTTTTAATTAAAGTCATCGATCGTCATGAAAGTAAAATTGATTCGTCATCTGTCCAATATCGCATCGGGAATACATTTTATTCGTATTCGTATTCATATATGATATTTAACTAGTTCAAAAAATATTCGTTATTCACATATTTAATTTTAATTTATATTCTTTGTATCGTAAATATAAATATCATTATAATAATATTGTTTACAGTCTATTGCATTACGAACAAAAAATCAGAAATTAAAAACTAAACTAAATTAATACTTTAATAATTTATTAATTATACTTTATTAATTATACTGTTAAGTTGTAATAATTATATTAATTGCAATACATTAACTGATGATACAAAAAAAATTACATTTGAAAGAAATCTATTGCTGTACTTGCTAGCAAAATCAAAGGAAAGATACTTGTTCGAAACGTATCGTCTTTCGTGCGAACAAATTGTACCGATGCTAGAATAAACCGCGTAATTAGTATTGTAATTTTACAGGTATTCGGTTTTTCTTGCGCTCTACCGAGAATCAACGACTCGTTCGCTTGTCTCTTACCGTTGATGGACAAAGAACCGTACGATAAAAATACGGGCGCAAAGTCGATTCTGCGAAACAATTGTCGAGGAATATCAAGCAGCTACCGATATATTCAATGACAGAGAAATGTTTATTAGAAACAATACGATGTAATACGATTGCGTATATGAAATGTTTATAACGTTTCGTTCTGATCTCGATTGTACGATGATTAAACGTTATTAACTTTCTCTCCTAAAATAAAAATGGCCAATTTTGCATTTCGATGGAAATTGTGATACGTATACCTGATACGTATAGTGAAAAATGGAAAACGAAAAACGAAACAAAATTATCCATAGGATGTGCATTGGGTCGCGAAGCTTTGCGAATAAATTTTTGACGAACGTGAACGTAATAACAAGAGACGTATTAAATTCCATAGGGAAGACAAGCAAAACGCGTGAATTTAATATCCTCCTTGATGTTCCGCGTTGATCGTGTAGAAGTATATCAAAGAGACGCTCTTAAGAGCGCTTTGACATTCTCCTTTCAAGAGGAATGAAAGCATTTTATTCCCGTATCCTCCTTCCATCCCTTCGTTTCCATCCACCCCTCTTCTTCAATGCTCCATTTCTCCTCTGATATCAACTTCTTCGATCTCGGTCTTCTTTCTCTTTGAGGATAAGCAACCACTCGATCCCTGTGTGTACGACGTATAAACCGGTGCATGGATGCGTGTGAGAAAAATGCGCGCGAGTTTTCTTTACAAATTGTGCGCATGGGAACATGTGAAATGACTCGTTCGAAAACTCGTTCGAATGCGGCGAACTAATGAAAATTAGATCGGCGCGACGCGTTCGTTAATTCCACGTTTCCGTTATGTTTAGATGTTTGGAATAATCATTTAATAATAGCGTGGCATTCGCTTCATATGTTCCAATGAATTTGCACTTTATGCACTCGATAATTATGAGACTGTTCTGTAATCTTTTTTTTTACATTTTTCCTTCTCTTTTTTCATTTGTCAACAGGATTTTTTTGAAAATAGTGGTAAATTGTGGTATACGCTAATAATTCATCTTTTTATCAAATTAATTTTTATAAATGAAAAACACGATATTTTTATTTTTTTCGCTATCGCGGATAAACTTTTTTTAATTAAAAAAATAGACGGAATAAATTTTGAAAGATTTTTTTCTTTTTTTTTTTTTTTTAATAAAATAAGCAAAAATAAGCGAATCATAATCTTTAATATCTTAGTTTTCTTATCTACGATTATGAGATCTATGAGATAACGCTCTTGATATTCATGTATATTTGTGTATAAAAAAAATTCGCGTAAAGGGATATTTTCATTAATTTTTAATTGCTAATAAATAAAAAACAAGTTATATAAAGAAATAATATTAATTTGGATTATATATTTTATAATTAACTCGCGCGAATATTTATGAAACGAGTATAAAATATAATACAAATAAATACTTTAAATAAATAGATAATAAATACTTTAAATAAATAGATTTTTTATTATCTTAACGTTATTTTATTCCAATACTATATATCAAAATCGTTATTAATAATTATTAATACGAGGATAAATTTTGATCAAAGTTTAAAGTATAGATGATAATTTGTTATATACATGTAATATTATTAACTGAGAATAATGTGTGTCGTTTTTGTAATTCATAATATAAACACGAATAATTGTTATTTTGTTAAACGATCATCATTGAATAATTTTTTCCATTAATTTATCGCTTGAAACAAACAAATTACAAACTTGTTTCAGATTTTAATTAAATTTTATATTTGTATAGTTGTTGTAACATACTCGTGACTTTCTAACGCTATGCGAAGAGTCTATTTTCTAAACGATATTTTTATTATATATCCCATTATAAGAATGGCGTTAAAAGTGACGCATAGTAGTTCCATTGACGATATATTTATCTCATAAGGAGAATATACGTTAAAGAGGGAGAATGTTATTTTATATTTTAAATTCTTCGTCTAATTTTATTCAAAAAAGTTTTCGCCTTATGATGTATATCTAAAATTGATATTTTTCTAAAATGATTTATACTTTCGATAAAAAATACTAAATATTCTCATCTCATATGTCGAATTGATGCTGATAACAATCTTCAAGATAAAATAAATTAGAAGTAATTTTAAATCGGACATTAAGATATATTTCGCTATCAAAATGTTAATTATCTAAATTTTTTCAGCTCGATATCTCGGTTTCTTGTTTTTAATATCTGTTTCTTCCATTATTTCTTCTTCCATCCCCTCTTTTTCTCCTTTCACTTTTATTCATCGTTCATCGACTAACGGGAAATGATAGGTCTACCTAACCTTTCATCACTTATAGTGAGATACGTTAAATTATTTTTTTTTAAATGTACGCTTGTACGTATATATAAAATTGTTTAATATTTCATTCTTCTATTTCTTTCTACGATTTTAATTTTCAAATAAACATATATATTTTTACTCATCATTTTTATAAATTCTTTAATTCAGTTTTAATTTTCTAATTTTAATTTTAATTTTTTCTAAAAAATCTAATTTTTCTTTAATTAATATGAGAAATTTAAGTTAAAATCACCTAATTAATAATCTAATTAAACTTCATAGAATTCATCATATAATTTCTTGTAATATTTCGGTATATCGTTCATATATGATGTATCTTGGATAATCCATCACGATCAAGTGCAACGTTTGTCTTGTTATAATTTCAAATAAAGAAAGGTCAATAGCAACGATTGAATAAAACGATCGAATTCATTATTTTCTTAACGAGTTTTCTTTTAAAGTTGGAAGAACAAAGTTTTTGATATATTCGGAAAAAATAAAAATATTTATTTCTATCTATTTATATTTATTTGAAAAGTTTAATTTTTTTTCAAAATGTTTGTGATTTGTTTGTAAAACGTAAAATTATTTTACGTATAAATAATATGGAAAATAAATAAGGAGAGCAACATATTGAATTAAATTAAACATATTGAATTAAAAAAAAGAAAGAGAGCAAGAAAGGAGCGTAGATTTAAATGAATATAGAATATAGCGTTTGTTAGTTGTGAGAAGAACGAAGAAGGCCCGACATGTATGTTCCACATTCTAGGTGAAGCATGTGCGTGGAAGATGGTGGTTCGGTGAAATCTTCGGTAACAGTTCGTTGTACATCGGTTACGTTCTTGGGAAAATTCTCAGAGATTCTGAGCCGAGACAAAAGAGGCATCATACTTGCGTACCGTTTACCGGAAGTTGGGAAGGGGGTTGCGATAGCCGTTTAGATACATCACTTTTCCTCGTAGTTCGTCCCTCCCGGAGGCGAGAACAAATCGGAACAATTGTCGATGACGACATACTTCTGTCCTATATATATTTGTATTTTCCCGACTTGACAAATTTGTTCTCCCGCACCTTTTGTTCCACCAACCGACAATCGTATTACGTATCTTGTGTTTAAATGCTTGCGAATTATTCACAGAATCTTTCGTGAAATCTTGAGTATTCTCATCATCGAGTTTCTTTTGCTGTTTCGTTTACTTATGAAATCGCGATGAGAAATGATTAAATGCAATTGTTGTCTAGTATGCGGCAATATTTTAAGAACTTAAATAAGTGAATAATACTGTTAGGTAGTTAATATAATATTAAGTGATTAGATGGTGGAGATGGCGGATGTAATATACTAATACGATACAAACTCTGTTATTTGAAAATCTATTATCCGAATTACTCGAAGAATCAAGTATACAAATATTACGTTGTTAGAAGTATAATGAATGACGTCATTCTACACGTGTAATTACGATAAGATTTCCAATACGTTGAATCTTCATACTGAACAATAGGGAACATAGGGAAGGATAATAACGTCGCAACACAATTTGCGGTTGAAATTTGTATTAAACGAAGCGAGACGAAGATAGAGCGAAACCGGTCCATTTCCGTCTCATTTCCGTATCTAGAGCGTATAAAGGACAATATAATTAATTTTTAAATAACAGAAAAAAAAGTTTATTATTTCGCGGTATACCAATTAATTTCTCTTCAAAGTACGTATATTTCTAACGAGATGAAAAAAAAAACATTTGGCACGCGTAACGGTGAACCCGTTTCACAAATTATAACACGCGTATAAAAGCATATTAATCGAATGCCACCGATGTCGATCTTTCCACTTAGAGATCGGATCGCGATCTCAAGGCGAGCTTAGTTCAGTGACACCTCTTTTTAGACGCGTTATTATGTATATGCACGCAAAGGGTATATACGAGAGGTTCGTTCGCGAGTCGTGCTCATGAACTTCCAGATCCTGTTCTCGATCTTGTTTGGAAAAATTGAACGAACGTCACGTGGAAGTGAGATCGACGTTTACGATGAGAAAGAAATCTTTGTCGATGTTGCCATCATGAAAGAGTCGTATTTTTAACGCGCGTCTATCGTCTACGTATCGATACAATGATTTTGTTTCGACAATATTATTTTACAGAGTTGGAAAAATTTAAAATACATCGAAATAAATACGTATTAGGAAATTAAAAGATTTGACATAAGCAAAATGATTACGTATAAAGTTCTATTGTATTTATAAAAAATAAAATCATCATTTAAATCATTTATAACTTTATTGAAAATAATATTAACAGTTAAAATTTGTCAGACGTTGTTCTCGAGAATTTTTTTGAAATACATTTTTATTTAAAAATCTCCATTTGATTCTATAATTTTTTTATAATATTTTGTTTTATTTAAGTTTTGTATCCTTTGTACAAATTTGATTATAATTTATTTATTTAAAACGGATTATAATTAAAATATAAATAATGTTTAAAAGAGCAATAGAAATAAAAAATGAGTGAAATAATAATACGATCTTTTTTTATTTACAGATTGAACGCGAAGTTGTTCTATCATCGGGAGATAAAAATTCAAAGATTCCTATTCTGCACGAGTACAAACAAAGAACTGCCGGAAGAGTGGCTATTGCACCGGATGCACCGATCAAGCAGCAAGCTTGGGTTCAAGAGGTGAGTTAATTCTATCTAATTCTCTATAATAATTGTTAGACTAGCAACAATAATGTAATATTTTATAATATTTAGTCAGTTGCAGTGAAAAACGTTGATACACGCAATAATATACATATAATATATATTAAATATCTTTATATATTAATTTCCCATTGATTCTAATATAACGTAACGTGTTATTATTCAACAATTAGTATCGAACAATCACAATATGATATACATGATTTAAATGTTTAATAATGTTTTATATTCTCTTAATTTATCATTTATAATTTATAATAATCGGTCAATATCAGCGTTTATTATTTATTTTGGAAAAAAATCTAAAAGTTTTGAATGACTTTCGAGTTTTACGTATCTTTGATATTAAGCATTAAATATTAAATATAAATAAATATTAAATATTTAAATATTATTATTACTTCACAATATCTCGTGATCTTCCATCAAATCGATAAAGTTCAACAAAATGTTAAGGGTCGAATTTATACGCATGAAAACACCATGTTATTTCTTTTTACGGTTTACCGTAAAATCCGACCACTTGTTGAAAATGGAACCTTTATTGATCTCTCCCTCTATATATATCATATATATAAATCGTGGATTGACCGTGTGAAAACGCAATTAAGCAGTTAATCGTCGTAAAATCGCGATCATTGCAAAATCATTGATTGGCTCACGCGAGTGTAACTCGTGCGCTGGTCGGACACCTACGTGAATTGCTCGAGGTGTGAGTAGGTGGCGATAATGCACGTGCCACGGGATATTGTTTCACGATCGTAGGTTAGAGACGGATGTGAGCGTCAAAGGGCGTGCAAAGAACGTGGAAAATTATCTTTTGGTTTGATCCGCGTTCGAATTTGTCTTTTCTCTATCGCTGTCCCATGCGACCGGTGTTTCAATTATCATTCGTGTTTTGCGGATGAAACGCTGTTTTTAAAACGCTGCGCATAATTAGAATCACGCTGGTTACGTTTTAATACACGATGATGATCATGTTCCACGAGTGAATCTGTACAATAGCTTTGAACGTTCGATTTTGATTATGCTAATATATACGTACATACATATATAAATAAAATATATTAAGAAAATATATTTTTTTATTAAAATTGTGTTATAATATTTATTACTAAATTGTTAATCTTCTGCTAAAGATCAGATTCATCTCGATTCCGTATTATAAATAGGCGATATTGTTAGATATCGTATGCTTATTATATTTGTTATATTATTATATATTGTAAAATAAAAGAAATATAACGATACTAAAAAAATTTAATCCAATGAAATATAATTCAAGATTTTAGGATTTTAACGTAAAATAATATGATAATGTGCAAAATGATGTATTTTACGATATAATTTACAATAACGATTCAAACGTTATTGTTATACGAATAACGAGACTTGATAAAATGTACATTATAAAACATTGTTTTTCATAATTGCTAATAAAAATATCAATGCGTGCGTGGATTTTTTTCGTGGATAAAATCAACCTATTGTTTTTGATGATGTAGGCGGTCTGTAAATCTGTTACTTGCTTCTCTTTGTTTGTTCTACGATGTAATTACTTTCATCATATCATATCGCGTCGATCTTTTCTTTAACCATAGTTGAGAGAAAAAATAATTTTGCATAGACGTATAATTTATACGTTAAATTTAGATAAAAATAAAATGATGCGGTTTTTTTATTTTAGTATGAGAAACGTATTTAATTACACATTTCTGTATTCGAAATGATTCGATCGCATTGAATAAATTCGAAAATTTCGATACTTTTTAATGTCTTTTTCTACTTGATTTTGTTTGTCGTGATTTGTCCAATTTGAAAAGAATCTACGAACGTGTTGACAATCGTGTCAATTTATTTTAATTTCATTCTTGAAATTTTTTCATTCAATTCAGTTTAATGGCTGGAACGCGAAGAAATGATAAAAAATTGATCAAAGTTAAGGACATTTCGTGTGCACGGAAATCATGAAATATTCATAGCTCGATGTGCGTCAAACGAACGAGGAGAATGTTGCGGAGTTAAACATAGTCATGTTCATTTTAAGATACGCTTTAAGGTATACGTGGAATCAACCTCGCTCGTTTACGATACCTGTGTACCAAAAACTATAGTTACTAACTTTGCAGACATTTATCGATTATTTTATCGCGTGAAAATACTACTTAATTATTAGATTATTTGATGAGAATGGAAAAAAATTGTGTTCTCTAAATTTTCCCTATTAATCTATATTTAAATTAATGGTTCTTTAAAATAATAACGGGTATGATATTACGTACTTTGATTTTTAGATCGATATCTCGCAATTGCCACTTGAATCGAAATTTATTAATCGTCCTTAAAAATCCTTCGATATTACAATTCAAAAAATAAAGACTAGGAAAGTACGTGATATTTTATAATATTTTATAAGCTACGATCAAACGAAATAATAATATTTTTCTCTTATATTTTTATTATATAACGTAGAAAGAGAAAAAAAAGAAAGAAAAGAAAGAAAAAAATGAACGACAAACTGTAGCAACTAAAGTGAAATATAAAAGTGAAATATAAAAGTGAAATATAAAATGGTGATGACAATAATGGTGACGAGAAATAAACGTAACTAAAGTGAGTAAATAAAATACGTACTTGTACTTTTATTTGCGAAGAATTTTTGAAGAAATTAAAATTAATCAATGATCATCGATGAACAAATGGAAATTGATTACGAATGAAAAAGAGAAAAGAAAAATACGAAAAAAGATGTTCGAATCACGACGAACGGAAGATATAACGTTGGAACGTTAGTTGAAAACGATCGGTTAACATTTTAAATTCGATTTTTCACCGACTGTAAAATTCATACGTTAGATTTAATACGCGGTGTAATCCTCAACACGGTAGCTGTGTGCAGGGACCATAAGTCAGAAAATCTTTTTTCGTATGCGCAAAGCGTGTCACGAAGCCCTACGGGCACACAACTTGGCTGGCTACCCCTCTTTCCCTGCCCTCCTCTCTCTTTCTATCTATCAGGATGACAGTGTCAGTTGTTATTCCAACCGCATCCCTTCCTAAGAACCGGGAGGATTCAGTCCGACAACTTTGAAATTCCCTCTGCGGTTTAAACGGACACGTTGCCATTAGCCGCCCGCTGTCCTCTTCCACAGAGAATTGTTTTCGGTGGATTCCGGTAAATTGCGTCGAGAAATTTCCCTCTACTCAGCTCAGCTCTGCGCTGAGAAATATGCGTTTCGTTTCGCGCGAGAGAATATTCGTAAGGTAAAGATGGTTCGAGTATGTTACTCGGAGAAAAACTCCGATAGGGAATAAATTAATAATTTATACATCGATTGATATAAATTTCGCAACTTTTTTCACCACTTTGCATATCACGTAACATTACAATATACTGGAAAATATATTTTTGGAAAGGATGACAATTTTCTCAAGTTAAGTTAGGATTACGAAAATTTAATCGATAATTATATTTCAACTTAATTAATTTTATACATAATCTTCGTTATTTATCAAGAAAATTTTCCATTATCATAAATGACAGTAAATGAGAATAATTGATACAAATATCACGACAATCTTGTTGAAACGAGTAATTTTCTATGCGTGTTTTCAAAAAAAGTTCTCAAAAGGAAAGAGAAAAAAAAATCAAAAGTAGAACAATTTAACAACGAATCTTATATTTTTTTTTGCTACGTGTTATACGTAAAATATGTTCATGCGGATTAATTGCTCGTACGTGTCGCAAAAGTTTTAGAATTGTTTTCCAATTATTTTATATCCAGCGCATTCACAGAAATAACTTTTCGGATCCGAAATCCGATCTGATAAACAACTGAATAAAGGAATAAAAATAATTCCATCCACTTAGATTTCGGTTTATCGGTGTCGGAAATATTTCAATTAGAGAATTATGTAAAATAACGCGAGAGGAAATACGAAATGAACGGACGAGAGAAGGTAAATTGGATCGAGTGAAGGGTGGAACGACACGTTGAAAGGACGATGTAAACGATTTTTCAGGGAACTCAGATGCAAGAAGTGAGACAAGAGGGCCAAGCGAGGAGTTATCAAGCAGCGGAATCTTACGCGTAAATATCCTCCTTGTATCGCACCGCACGGTGAATCCGAGAATTGATTTTCCCCGATAAAATGGCAATTTCTCCGAAGGTCGACGTCGGTTGGATCGGCGCCAAGGACGACCAAGATCGATGAGGAGAAAAGCAAATCGATCTCGAGGACTTATCACACGATTAAGGACATGATATCGAGCCGTTTCGGGCAGAGTCGCAAGGACGTTGAGCCGGAACCGGAGGCGAGTTTGAACAACGTTACGGAAGAATTGAGAAAATCGAGTAGGAGCATCGACGAGGAGGAGGCCAAAAAGAAGGATGGGATTTATGGGAAACCGCGGGCTCAAGATCCTCCCCTTAATATGCAACAATATCCGAAGAATGCTTGTAGTAAGTATTACTTTGCCGATCAATTAAGATTTAGAGGATTTAGCGAAAGAGAAAAATTAAATTTTTGTTCGACTTAATTAATTTCTTAAATTTATATTACTTGACGAGTTTATATGGAAGGAAGGAAAATTTTAACTCGTAAAACTGCAAGGAAACAACGAAAAATTAACAAATACGATAACGTTGATATTTTATATCGAAAAATGGTTTTTAAAGTTAGTTAAACTAGGTCACTTGGATAGTTGGTTGGAAACCAATCGACCATTCGGTTGGAAATTCGGGATCCTTTACTTTGCAGCTAATAGGGTTGTAGAAGGTTTCTTTATCGGTAACAAAATCGGTTCGCGACGTCACACTTTCACAATTCATTTTTTAATGGACTCTACATTTAGCTAGATTCTAATTTCGTTCTATCTTTTGTCCAAAAATCGGCATCTGTCTTTCCTGAGTTATTAATATTTTAAAAATTAATTAGAAGGGGGAGGGGGAAGAATCAAATGAATGAGTATGAGAGAAAGAGAAAAAATTCTCTCCGATAAATGAAATGGAATAAAAAATTTACAGAATTATAACATCGTGAATTTATAGTGGTTTTTAGAAATTCAACTTTCGATTCAAATATATTATAATGCTTTCCATCTATTCGTGGAACGGATAATGCAAGCACTGAATAAAATTCAACGTGAAACGTGTTTTCGTGCGAAGAATTTTCGATAATAGAAATTGATAAAATATTTATATCGTAATAATACATATAAACCGAATATATTTTCACGAGAATTATTTTTATTTGAAATCATTTTTTTAATATATATTTGATTATCGAATTCATTATTTTTAACAATGTATCCTTGTAAAATTTTTTTCCAATTATTTTCTAAGAAAAAAAAAAACTATTACATAACAATATATAAAAATTTTGTTAGAAAATTTACTCGTAGATGCAAATATATATTGTAAAAGAAAAAAAAAAGAAAATTTATAAATTAATATTGCTTATATTTTATAAGCAGTATTACGTTGAAGCAAAAATAATATTCTATTTACTTAATGTAAGTTGGTAATAGCATATTAAAATACTTTTATCAAATGGAAGTAAAAAGAAACAATGCAATGATTCAAGTTCGATCAGAGTCATTGATTAAATTTTTATTTATCTTAATTAGTCGAACGAGAAACAATGTGAAACGTAACAAGAATAAATAAATTGTGTACAGAATGTTACGAAATAAAAGTTTCTGTACATTATTCTACTGTAAATATTGGATAATTTAGTCGTTAATAAAACGGAAGAAATAAGTTAAAAATTAGAAATAAATTTTGAAGTGAAAAAATAATGTAAAAAATATTAATTTACGAAATTTATGAAATTTGTCGTTATTACAAATTATTTAGCATTTTAAACGTATTTTTATTATTTATTACAAAAAATGTGTCTACGGAAGATCGTATTTTAGAATAAAATTATCGTCTTCGAAACATATTTATATCAATTAGATATTTTATCGTTTATTTTACTATAAATATTCAAATTATTTTTTCGTAAAATCTTTTATTATGCGGATATATCGTTTCAAGTTTATTATTTTCTAGATAATTAAACGTTTTAAACTTTCCGTATAAAGATTACATTTTATTGCCATTCACGGAGAATAAATTTATTTTTGTTCGTCTCGCGAATCATCGTATTTTATCGTATCGTACGATGAACTTTCATAAATGAATATTTAGAAAAAACATTATATATATATAATGTGTCGATTTATTTAAACTGCCACCATCTACCATCTACGATGTAATGGATGACAACGTTTACGTAATATTTGAAAATGGTTTAGGTCAATACGGACACTCGTATAGTTATCTGAACAATCAGCAGAACGTACCGCTTCCTGGACAACTTCAACCAACGTCGCAAATTCAACCCAATTTACCGGGTCAAAGTGCTCAGCTTCACGTGACGCATCACACTCCACCAGGAGGAGTTCAAACGGTTCATCAAACTCAAGTTGCTGGTTTCGGGCAATCGGCGACAGGTGGACAGCAGGTGCAAAACGTTGCTAGGGAATACGTCGTACAGGGGCCATCTGGATTGCCGAGTCAGCAATTGCATCAACCACTTCATCAGAATCCTCAGAACCAGGTAATCTTTGATTTCCTTACAATCCTGTCTTTCGACTGGTTGTTTTATTTCGCTTACGAATTGAAATTCTTTCTATATTGACGAATAAATAGGGCAAATAAGCGTGAAAGTTATTACGCGATGAAAATTACTTTGACAGCCAACAATTTTCTTCCGATAGACAAGATGTTTACTTCTCTTAAATATGAATCGACGTTGTTACGTGAATATATACATTTCAAGTTTTATTAAAAAATTATTATAAAAAGATACGAAATATAAAGTAATTTATGATATTACGTTAGAATAGTACAATAGATACATTTCTGGAGAATCGATCTAGACTTCGAGAAAAAATGAAATGTTTCTAATTTAGTATTATAACGTGTACATGTTTAGAATAAATATTAGAAAAAAATATTCTATTCTCCGATGGCCTATAATTTTATTTCATCGTTTTATTTCACCGATTACTTTTTGTCGGGCAACAGGAATGACGAATGAGAGTTTATCACGTTGAAATAAAATAAAATAATGCTATAAAAAACATAAAGATATGAAAAAATTGCGTATTTTTAATTAAAAAATTGGAATATGGGAGGAATTTATTGGAAAAATTTTCAATTTTCCTATAACGAATATTTAAAAAGTTTTATCATTCGTTAGTTCCTGTTCTAAACAATAAATAAAACCTTTAACAATTGAAAGAAAAACGTTAACTTTCTGATCAAGATTATCGATAATTATTATAATATTAATGATTAAATTTACATGATAATTTTTAACGTATATGAGATTAAACTCGTGAGATAAAATATATATATATTACGATAAATTGATTTAATAAAACTTCGCTTTAATTAGAATATACTTGGAAATATCTATCAATGATTAAAAACATTTAGAAATAACATTAATGTTTATCATTAATTTTTACATTAAAAAATCCAACTTGTCTTTTCATCCGATACATAATTATACTTTTGAATTTTGAATTTCGTTGTAATACTTAAATCCATGAACGACGATAAATTGATCAAAACAACTTATTTTTTTATTTATCATTATGGATTGTTTTTAAATATTCAACGAGACAACACTTTCTCGATCCTAATAGATTTCGATTCGGATTATTCGCAGAAGTATTTTTAGACGTTCCACCGTCTTATTGTTTCAAACAAAAATTCCGCGTGGAAATTCTATTTTCAATAATAAGAGAAATATTTCCGATACACGTCGAATGAATTGGCTGATGACTATTTCCGGTTTGAGCAGCGGAAAGGTTATTTTTTATGTTAAAAAAAAAGAAAAAAGAAAAAAAAGAAATCTTTTCCTCATATAAATTCCTCGTAAAAAGAGGCATATAACGCGACACATACATCCTATTCAAATAGCCAGTGCACGCGATACGTATTCCATATTTATGCTATCTAAAGCCGACCACACGCAACATAATGCACCGTGCGTACCTTCGAAATTTATTTCAAGACATCGACAAATTTTTGATCGGTCTCTTTATTCCCTACATACAGCATTCGATACGTATTGTAGTTTAACGGTATTTATTATCGAGAAAAAGGTTTAAATTTCTAACTAAATTCTTGACTTTTGCGATAGACTCGTTGTTGATTCTTACTTCATCCAAATCTAATTAAATAAAATTTTCATCATCTTTTTTTTCTCGCAACACGTCCATAAGTTATCATAACGGTACATTATTAAAAACAATTAATTAATATAATTGTAGAAAATCGGCGAATCTCTGCGAATGGCGTTTCTAATTAATATGTAAGATAATTAATGGGAATGCAAATTGCTGTTAGAAGCAGCGAGTGGTAAAAAAATAAGAATGCGAATATATTGGCGTCTTGCTTCCGTACTCGAGACGCGAGTAAACTGACAACTAAATTACTAATGCGCGAATAGTAGGTAAGGTTATTATGGTACGTCGTCCTTACATTCTGAAAAATGTTGTTAGCTTATTACGAAAATTCCTTCGATACAATTATTTATTTGGAAAATACTGTAATTAGATATCTTCTGGGTATCTTTCGATTCGAGGTATGCGTACATACGCGTGATTATCTATATTTTAGATTAAGATAGATGTATTTAAACGTGATAATACATTACATGTGAATTACGACGAAGATAATATAAAATTAATAAAAAGTATATAAATTCGAAAACGTGTTAATTTCGTGAAAAATTGAAAAAAATCGAAAAAACGAAAGTTTTCTCCCAAACTCGAAAAAATTTGATCGATTAATCGATGAATCGTTTCCCGTATCAGGGTCAGAGTACGCAGATGCAAAAGTCACACGGTCTACCGATTCAACCTCATCAAGTGGGGAATTCGATGCAGCCATCGAATCAAAACTTTCAAAGCGCTCAACAATTGATGCATCAGAATCAGAGTCATCATCAGAGCCCTAGATTCGCCCAACAACACGCGCAGAACATGCACCAACGTCAACTGATCCAACAGATGCATCAACAACAATTGGCCGGGCAGCAGAACGCCAATCAGCCAGGAGTCAGGAACGTGCAACAGAGTTATTTCTCGAACAACGTGTCTTATCAGCAGTACCAGCAAGCCCGACAGGCTATGTCAAGATCTCAGATCGATCTACCCAGCACTTCGAGACAAGCTCAAGAACTGAGGCTGCCCGGCCAAGAGGTATACTATCATTACGCTCAAGGTCGGCCTAGGTACGGTGTACCGCAAGTATACATGAAGACCGAAAGTAACCAAGAGGCCGAGTTCCAACGACGAAACTCGACCAAAGGTATCGAGAAAGCTGCTTCCCAACCGCAACTCTGCTACGAGGACGAGAGAGTTAACGATCCCCAATCGAGGAATCCGGTAATAGATCCTATCAAGGGTCTGACGGTTGATCCGTTGGACAAGGAACGGTACGAGATCACGGTGGAGGATCACGGTGGTGGAGTAACGGCCGAGTTTGGAAGAAGCGATTCTCAAAGAAAGGACGAGTATCGACCGGAGACAAGCTTCGGTATACGCAGAGACGACGCTGTCAGGTGTTCGAAAAGGGAACAAGAGCAAATAGGGGTGGGTGGGCAAGATGGACAGGAGTCGGAAGGAAGTTCGGTGCAGAAGAGGATCGAGGAGTTGCAGAAACGAGCCGAGGAGAATCATTATAACGGGAAAGTGTCGTCGAAGGAGGGTATGGAAGGGGCGGAGGTAGGCAAAAGTTCGTCCACGACGAAAATTGGAAACGGCGATGGACCAAAGAGAATGGAGAATCAATACGCAAAGGATCTTGTTCAGGCGAAATCCGAGGTAAGAAAAGACGAGCTGGAACACGGGATCGGTCGATTGAAAATCCAAAATCAGGGATCAGGATCGGATTACGACAAAGCCGGCCAGAGTTCCTCGAATGTTGATTCCGGGAGAGGATCGGCCGTTTATTCCAGCGGAAGACGGCCACCACCGGAAGATCAAACTCATCAACCAGGTTTGTTGTTTGCCAATTTCTTTGCTCATCGTGATAAATGCTTCCGCGATTTCTCTAAACATTCGTTGTCTAAACATTCTCTAAACTTGAAACGACAGTAATATATTTATGGGCCGCTTTGGAGAATCGAATCTAAAGTCGAATTAAAACAAGTATGAAAGTTATTATATAAAATAAAAATTTTCGTAATAAACGGAAAGAGACAACTTGACATTTTTCTATATTTTTTGTGTTTATTTATTCTCTTCTTTTTGTTTTTTTTTTTTTTTTTTTTCTTTTATTTCGGTCTCTAGAATCGATCCTCCAAAGATATCTCACGAATATATTAATACTGTATATGATTTGAAAAATATTTTAACTATGACACATCGGATCGAAGAGAACAAAATTATTTGAATAAATATTGTAAGATAAGAATAATATAATAAAAGAATCGACAAAACTTTTCTACAATACGATAAGTAAAAAATGATAATAAAAGATAAATGATCGATTTTTATCCGTATCTCCAGTACAAGACTCAGAATGGGTGGACATTGTGGAATCCGAATTAAGAAGTATTTTAGAGCCGAGAGATGTGCCCGCTATGGCGCATTCCACCCTATCTGAAAGCGTATCATCGGTAACTCCACCCCTGCCACCGCTTTCACCCCATGAAAGTCCCAGAACACCAAGAAATCGATACTCGGCGAGGTAACGTTACTTCGAACAGATCTCTTCTCATCTCGTAACCGATGTCACTTCCGGTCACTGCTCCCTTAGCTTGCTTTCGATTAGTTCCCTTCTCCGCGTAGATCGAAATACTGATATCGAATCGATCAAAATGTTGAGCATACATTGTAGACGCTTTTTTAAAGAACGTAACAAGCTTATCGAAACTAGAATCAATTTTTTTTTTCTTCATTTTCTTTAAGTTAAAAAATTTTTTAGCGATATCGTTAACTCCTTAATTTAAGTATAATAATAGCTTAAATATAATTATATATAATTATATTAAGTATAATTATATATTAAATATAATTATATATTAAGTATAATTATATATAATTATATTTATCATTTAATCGTTGATTTGTTCTCGTTGTTGAGTTGTCTGTAAGTTATTCTTTTTCAATTTAATCTTTTCAAGAATTATGACGATACGAAAATATAATTATTCGTTTTTATCATCTTTTTCATTTACAGCAAATATTGACGAATATTGAGAAATAATAACATAACAAAATGACAATTTCGTTTTAAAATGACAATTTCTTGAAAAATATTTTTCAAAGTAAAAAAAAAAATCTAATATAAGGAGCAATGAATCATTTTTACGACGTTACATTTAACATGTGCTCTTCTAGCACATTTATTTCTTTCGAACGTTTCCATTCTATAAAACATAAACGTTGTACATAAAAATTGTATACGTAAAAATGAACAAAACATATATATTTGTGGAAAGAAATTTGAAACATGTATGGTATATATCTCTTTTCCATTGAATCCTTTATTTATTATATATAGTATAAATCATAGAATTTGTTTCGGATGAAATTTAACCATCTTTTTGCGGCTTTTTTCGCGATGCTAACAGTTGCATGTTTGTGGGTCTTTTAGCTTACCATACGGATCGAAACCTAATTACAGCGATTACAGCAAGGCCATGGAGAAAAGAGGATTCTCGAGTAGTTCGAAGCATCGTGGTGCCTCGACTTCCAAGAAAGAAGCTGCTAAGAAATTCTCTCATCGTGAGTGATCTCTTCTTTTTTTTTTTTTTTGTACACGCGTTGATGATTATTCGTTCCTTGAGACTATAACGAGTATTGTTTATTCAGTTTTCGGTGTCGAAGCTGGTGATTTAACTTCAACCACGACTGGACTCGATTTAGATTCGATGTTGGATAGAAGTGATTCTGATTTAAGCACGAATGACGCGAGAACGATTAGGAAACAACTGGAGGGTTTGGAAAATATGTATAGCGAGGTGAGACGTATTTTTATGGAAAATTTTGAAAATATTGATTTTTTCAACATTTTTCTTTTCATATTCGAATAATATCCTATATTTTGTAATGCGATATGCAAAAAAAGCAAATGTTGATTAAAAAAAATGTTTTTTTGCTTCCAAAGGAAAAAGATTTCATTTTTCATTTATAACAACGATAAGTCGATAACTTCTGTTTCTTTTTCATATACATATTACATGTATATCGATTATATTGGATCGATATGTTTATTTTAGATTTTTGAATAACGAATTTATTAGTAAACTCGTATCAATATTTTAGCGGTTTCGATCGATATAATTTTAAATTTAGCTCGTCAATCTTCTTACAAGGCTAAATATAAGGGAAATAACAATTCCTTGTACATAGAGATGGTCTCATTTTCGAGAGAACATATCGTTGCAAAAATTTTTCTTAATTCTTATTTGAATAAGTTGATAGCGACAAATCTTTTTAAATTTCTGTGAAAATATTTAATGATCGTTACGTTAAATATAGTCGTTTGATAAAATTATTATATTTTTTAGTTGCATTTTTATTCGTATAATGAATTTTCTAATTTGTTTTCTATTTTTTTAAGTTCTGCGATATTTATCATAGATTTCTTTATCTCTATCGCACGAAATATGCATTATACCTTATATTGTACCTGATCATCCTACCCTCGCGATTAACGATTAATATTCTTTTGCATTGGTATTTTTGACATCTAAAGAACTTGATTTTTATCTCCAAATCGCATTTTTAAACTTGATGGAAACAATGGATAAAAAAATTAATTGAAATGTATCCATCTATATCGTAATGTAAAAAGTTATAATACAGTTGGATTATGGATATATCACAGGTACTGAAATTGCTCGGTGGAAGTGTGAAAAAAAGACGTAAAGCCAGAGGCTTAGCCAGTTATGGTTCCGTCTCATCGTTGCCGACATCATCCGTCTCGTCCAGACCACCTGTAACGAGGCACCATGATAAACGTAGATCTCACGCGATTGACGACAGAATGAAGAAAGCCAAAGACATCAAGGTCAGTTAGAGAGATTATTCCATTTCGCGAAATTTCTCATCGCCAGAGATTAAATAAAACTGTCCATTTTATAAATTTATTGAATAAAAAAATTATGAACTGAATTTTTAACTTTTTAAAGTCCTACGAATATTATATATTAACGTCTTGTATCATTTCAATGTTTTTAGAATTTATTTCACATATTATATAACGTGGAATTGATTAAAGATTATCATTGTATCGTTACAGAGCATTAACAAACGTTTTCAACGATTAGAATCTCACGTGGTTACACTTGCCAGATCGGTGGCACATCTGAGTTCGGAGATGAGAACGCAACATTTAATGATACAGGTGAGAGAGAGTCTCGTTAATATTTAAGATCGAACGAATAGTTAGAGAGCTTGAAAATGATGTTAAAAGATCTTTTATGGCAGTTATTTTTGTAGAGGAGAAGTTTTCTCTCGTATTTTATCCAATTTTTTATCAATATTAAATCTATATTTCGATACAAATTCGTCCAATTTTTATACGTATCTAAATATCTTCGAGTTAGATCCAACAACAAAAAAACGTAAGGAATAGGAAAGAGAGTAAAATAAGCGGAAAAGCGATTTTCGGAATATTCGAAACTCACTACTATCAGGTATTCGCAGGAAATGGAGAACATAAGGGGAGAGATTGCTGCATTGAGAACCCAAACGAGTATGGCAATGGTGAGATCGCAGTCTCAACCATTGATCAAGGATTCGGAACTACCAGCTCTCTCCAATCCTTCCAGAGTGAAAAAACTCACCAAGTTCTTCGGCACGGAACCACCGCTCATCAGACTATTCCTCAGGGAACTTGGGTATGAGGTAAGTAATTCGAATTATCGCTTTCTTTCTTCTTTTAATAATCTCTCGATTCGAAAGAGATCGCCGATCTCTCTCTCTCTCTCTCTCTCTTTCTCTATTAACTTTTATTTTAAAACAAATATTATACAGATATCAATTATATAATTTGTAATTTTTATTTTTATATATATTAAAACATTTATTTATTTATTTGTTAATAACAGAATTAAATTTTATTTTTATTAAGAATTAAATATATTTTGTATTTATATAATTTTAAAATATTCGAAATATTTTTGCTGTAATGATTACGATAAAAGTAAATAGAAGAAAATTTCATATTTCACGATATAAAACAATATTTAAAATTTTTTAAATAGTGAACATTCATTTTCATTATTATTATTTATTTGGTTAATATTTGATTAATTTTTTAATTGTAATCATTTAGCAAAGTGTTAAAAATTAAAATTATATCCGATCAATCAGATTATTTTAATGAAAATATTCGATTTTTATGTTTATTTCATAGAACGAAAGAAATATTTAAATATATACGCTACGTTTATTTATTTACATACTAAATAAATAATTTTTACTTGAAACCAGAAATATGCGAATGCTTTCGAGAAAGAAAAAGTCGGAATGGTGGAGCTTCCTTATCTAAGCGAGGAAAGATTGCAAAAAATGGGAGTTCCTCTGGGACCGAGACTGAGGATTTTACAAGAAGCGAGGATATCGGTGTGCAAAGATCCAATTTATGTTGTGTAAGTCTTGTGGAATCCCTTGTTCATCTGAAAAGCTACAGAACGAAGAAATATTAAAAAAAATAAATAAATAAATAAATAAAATTATTTTCATTTCATGCTTTTAACGGATTTTAAATGGTCAAAAGTATCTCGTTCTTTCAATTCATCTCAACGAAAGATGATTCTCTCGGATGAAATCCTAAACAATGAACAGATATTGCAAAAATTAGTATTTTTTACAAAGTAGAAAAATAATACTAATAAGAAGGGTGGAAAAAATAATTGCGTTCTATTTCGTGTGTATTAATGCGATTAATAATTATTTTGAGATAGAGATTATGGTTTTGCACGTTAAAATGTGTATAAGTGTATTAGGAAATCTGTAAAACTATCTGTATTTTTAATCATACAATTGAAAATTAAGAATTTTTTAGTTACATGCATCATTGATCTCGAAAATATTTAATTCTAATAATATAAAATTTACTTGTCACTTAATTTTTTTTAACAACAATTTTTAACAACATTTGTATTTCAATTATATATTATAATAATGACAATTTATTATATAATATAAAATTGATAAAAATTTAGGAAATAAAATAAAGGAATAAAAATTTCTTCGTTACATTTGTTTTATGTTTATTAATTATATTAAGAATAATTAATTTTTTAAAAATACAAATTTTTTATTTCTCTATACATGTTCAAAATCATAATCTCTAATATATCACAAAAGATATAACTGATCTTGTGTTTAATGCGTTTAATTCGTTTAATTCGTTGAAAGAAATGTTTGTGAGAAATGCGTTAATCCTCAAATAGTATTGTTAGGTCTATAAATAACGGTCTACTATACTAATTAAATATACTTGATTATATTATATATTCAACGTTTAAACGATAAAATTTTTGTCGTTTTAAATATAAAATACGAGATGTAATTAAATATTTTATAATTAAATTATGAATATTGTACATATATGTACCTATATGTACCTATATGTACATTTATGATTTATTTAACGGTGCAAAATTGTACAAAATACAAATAATATACAAAAATATAGAAAAATAATCGTTACAATATTTAAATTTCTGTTTAAGTATCATTTATTCAGTTATACGTTCATCAAAGTATAATTCGCTTAAATACTCTACCTATTATCGATACTAATTGAATCTACATACTAATTGAAGATTACAATACAATACTAATTGAAGGTTAGCGTTTTAGATAATATGTAGATAAAATAAGGGAACAATTATTAAGTAATAACAATTATTTAAGATTCTTAATCTTAGATCCGTTTAATTTCGCTTCTATAATTTATTATAAATTATTAGTAAACCGAATACTCATCATCGGTATACATATAACACATATTTTACATATATACATACAAATGATAACTGCCTCATTTAATTAATTTTAAATCTTATATATATATATATTTTTAACAACTATTAGGAATATATTATAACGAAATAGAAGGAATGATACATCGAATAACGTTAATCAAAATATAAATACCTTTCACGGTATTGTCGTTGATTTTAAGAAACCATTTATATATTTATACAAAGGAAGTAATCGTGATTGATTTTGATTGCTTATGCGTCAATTAAACGAACGACCAATTATAACGAGTATAATTTCTTATTTTGTACAATTACAATTAATCGATCACTTTGGAATATTATAAATAATACGTATTTTGTAGACACATTTAATCAAAAGACAAACATCTTATGAACATTTTAAAAATACTTATCAAAAAAGTTATTGTATAAAAAATGTTTTAATTGTACATGTATTTTTACTTACAATGATTCGTAGAAATATTTGAACACTTAGTATAGAAAAATTATATAAATACAATATAATATATATATAATATGTGTTATGTAAAAATATTTAAAATACAATAAGTATATACATATATATATTGGGACTATTTAAAATCAATATATATACGGAAAAATCCAAAAGTATACGTAAATGTTATAAAATATTTATTACAAGCGATTATTTCTCAATTGATTTCAATGAGAAAAATTGATCTCAATAATTCAATTTAATTTATATAAAAATTGTAAATTTAATAATTTGTAAAGTGCAATGTACGTTTATCGTTTTAGAAAAGAAGAATTTTATCATTTTTAATCATTATTGGTGCGACAGAAATTATAGGAAATTTTATATCTGATTTAAAAATAATAGGGATAAATCATTATCAAAATTGATCAAAATCCTCATCAAAATTCTCTGAATTTTCAATTAGAAAAATTGTATTTTCGTTCACATAACTTAAATTTGTTATTTTAAATTTTTATTTTTAAATTTTTAATTTTTAAATATTTATTTTAAATTTATATTTTAAATATTTATTTCTTATCTGATCTTTTTTCGTTCTTACATTATTTCTTTATAGAGAAAAGAATTCGCCCACACACCGTTCAGTCTCATATATTATTACGTTATTATAGTTGTATATATATATATATATATATATTATATATATATATTTTTATTATAAAGTATCAATGTATTCATATATGGAAATGATCAATATGATTGAAATTTATGGGAAAACCAACAGAAATTAATACGAAACAAGAAAAATTTACGTAGAGTGTTTTCCATCTCGTTAAATACCAAATGAAAAAATATTTCAATGGGTGGTTGAAAGATCATTTTCATTCCTTTTCATTCTTTTTCATATTTTTTAAACTTTATTTCGTTCATATAGATTCAATCGTATAATATATTCTATCGTACGAACTTGATTTCTTGATACCTTGATTCGTCGAGTAAATTATTAACGAATTTGCGTATGAAGAAACGAAATAAAAGTGAAAAAAGATCAGAAAAAATATTTTTGAAGACGGTATTTTTATGTATTATTCGCGATTTTTATGTATTCCTTTTTCGAATATTTTATTTATTATATTATATTAAATTTTATTTTTTCCTAAATGATTTAAATTTAAACGCATTAACGTTATAATTAAAACGATTCGTTAATTTACGATTTAATGGTATTCGAAATAAAATTGTTATCAATTGCTGTGAATTTAATCAAGCAAATACAAACTTAACAACTCGTTAATGAAATCATTTTGAATATATGTACATATGAATTATGATGTGTTATTTAACAACTTTTAATACACATATTGTATTTATAAAAACTTTCCGAGTGTTCTAAGTGTTCGAATCTTTCTATTCAATCATAGATTCTTTTCGATATAATTATAAATGATATTCACAATAATAATGTATAACGAATATTTTGTTAATGAGAATCTAAATCTATTGATTAAAAATTAAATGTTCATCGAATATTATACTATATTATACTTTCTGTACTGTTTTTAGAGAAAGACAATGATGAATTTCTCCAATTTCATTATTAATAATATAATCAATGACAATAATATTAGAAAAGTAATTATACGCATAAGACATATTTTTATGTTGAAATTTGTAACATTTTTCCGAATATTTCATACGAAACAGTTTTAAATCGTCTATATAAAAAATCGACATTAAATGGACAAATGTATTTCAAATGTGTCGAGATGTTACTATATTCTATCTGAATAGATTGTACGTTAGGTTTTTTCTCCGATCGATCAGTTTCAATCGATGGAACAGATCTATTCTATCGTCTCGATCGAGAATAAGCTCAAGCAGTTAACGCGAATGCGCAGATTGAGAATTGGAAGCAAAAATGAATTTTTGCCAAAGAGACGTGGAAACGTCGTCGACCGAGTGGCGTGTCGAACATTGTCATTTCGAGGAAGCGGAAGAAATTTTTTTCCAAGTGTGCTATTGTTTTCGTTTAAAACAATTCAACGAATGTTATTTTCGTTCTAACAATTTAAGAAATGAGACGCGAGAGAATTTACATAAATACGAATCACAAGCAAATTTTGGTGAACTAATAATATGAAATTGTTTAAATCGGTTCTTTTATTTCATAAAGAAAGTTTTTAAAAAAAAAACGGAAAGAAAAATGAAGTAGAATTGCAACGAATTACCGTTTGACTTTGAATGGAAAATCACCGACACGAATGCCCGTGTCCCACTTCGATAATATCGATTCGTTGGATAGAAAACAGAGTTTGCCCAAAAAGCGGTCTCTCGTTCGCGGGTCTTTGCCAATTTTACAAAAGACACGACTCCTTGTCCCCACTTATGAGTAATTTTTCTTCTTTGTACTTTGAAATTTAAAAGAAAAGAGAAAGAAATAATTCGTTCATTCAAAATAATTACAATTTCGAACGTTATTAGAACGAAAAATTAAAATTCAAATTCTATAGCAATCTATCGAAAGGAAAGAAAAAAGGTAAATTTTTGGAATTTTCGTTTTCATTGTTTATTTATCAGTTTATTAAACTGGATTTATCGCGTGAAATAACTGAGAAAACAAATAGTTTCGATTATAGTCGAACAAGCACATGTAACGTTGATACCAAAGAATCGATATCCGCTCCTTTGCAATGACGATTGCTACAACGATTTCAATTATTACCAATGATGTGTTGATTATGTAAAAGAGCGACACACCGCTTCGGTTCTCAATTAATATCGATTCTTGTTATCGAATTCACGTGAGACATGATCCAATGTTAACTGTAAATTCGACGTTAATTTAATTAATATGTCAATATTCGATGATTCTCGATAAATTTGTTATTAAGCATCATTATATATCGTACCTCCTTTACAAACTTTTTTCATGTTCTAATAATATCTTCCAGACGTGATTCCAGTTATATCTCGTAGCTGATATTGTTTTTAACATTACCTGCATTTTTTGATTTCATTATTATCTATATTAAACCTTGTACAGTTAATTATTTGTAGGAATATTTCGATAATAATATCATTAATATCATTATTTTAATATTCATATTATTATAAGTATATTATTATCTTGTTAAATCTTGTATTTAATAAATAAGTGAAGAGAAATAATGAATGAAATAATAGAGATTTAATGGATGTCAATTTTTCGTTTACTTTAAATGACGAATATTTTAAATGTTGAATAAAATGATTTGGTGAAAGGTTTATAATAATTATAAAAATTTAAAATGACAATTTTAAAATTCATTATCATTAAAAAGCAAAAGAATTATAAAAATTTTAGGAATTACGAATATTTTGAATTTTATTAATATTAGTTTTGTTACCATTATATTATTCATGTTATTTTTTTTTATTTTTAAGATTTAAATCTAATTTTTATATTATTTTGCTAATCATTTTCTAAACATATTTTATTACGTTATATCGATTTGATCGTACGAGTAGATAAAATTTTTTCTTAACTTATTTTGTTCGTAATATTTGCAATTTGTTTCGCAATACTTTTAGGTAAAATATAGAAATTGTAATTTCTTTATTTTTATTTTGAAAAAGTTGTAATAGTATAATTATTTGCGCAAAAATAAATAAAGAGAAAATAAATAAATAAAATATTATTAAAATTCTAAAAAAAATAAATATAACGTAATTCTTAAAATCGGGCAATTATTTTATCGTTTTGTCAGAAATTAACTATATATTTAATTGAAAAATTTTGCAATTGTGTCATTGTTCTTCCAAATCGGTGATATTCGATAAAAACTTGGAACAAATCCACTTTTCGCGTTAATGTGAGTTCTATAAATAATAATATAGAAAAAATAAATAAAAATAATGAAAAATAATCTTTATTAAAGGTAAATGAAAATTCTTGATTCTTTGATTTAAAATTTTATCTCGATTCGATCGAAGAAATAACACGAAAAGCTGTTGCGATTTACGAAAAGATTTTCTAAACTACACGCCGTCTAGTTCTTCGTGAATCAACCGTTTCTTTCAATTGAATAATCGCGTGTTAACTGTTATAACTCACAGTGTACAGACCATCACTAAGTGATCTGCTATTATGGACCCAGACCATGGACTGGCCTCTAATCGACGCTGTGAATAATAATTATTTCGCTTCCGATCATCCATCGCCTAATTTAATTATGATCCTAACTATTCTGCCTCTTTTTTAATTATGGTTGATTACTCGTTAAAATTAAACGATGATCTTGCGATTATAATAATAATAATAATTCGTTTCTTTCGTTCCATGATAATTTTCAAATATTTTTCCATATTATTTTATTAATTAAATGAGATTAGTTAAATGAGAAGAAATTTGTATTTAACTTGCACGAAATATAAAAAGTAAGATATGATTAATGTTCTTCGATCTTGTTGGATTGATGATGCGTTTTAATAAATTAATTAGTAAACAGTAAGATTTTATGGCAAAAAGAAAAAAAGAAAATGGAAAAAAAGTGATAACGTTAGAAGAAAGAAAATTTATTACAAATTTGTACGATAAATCATTAGAAACTTTAAAACTTTAAAAAAATAATCCATAAAGTGAGCGTCTACGAAAGATAAATGAAAATGCTAGTAACAAATTGATAATTTATAAAATAGAGCAGAATCTGAAGATAAGCGACGATCGATTTGAAAAATGATCGTTAACGATATTTGTTTGTTTTAAGTTTGTTCAAGATTAGACATATTCTACGTACATTTGGACGAAAATATTCATCTTGTAAACTATAATCTCAAGATTTTATTATAATTTGGTGAAAGTAATCGTTTAAACTTTTTTTATTTTAACGATGTTAAAGTTGAATGCTTAAAAGCTTAAATTATTAATTATATCGATTTCCTTCTACGTACAAGCATGTAATGTTGAATAATATTGATGAATTATTATGCAACATTATGCAAAGTTGAGAAACGATTATAATAGAGCATAGATTGCAGTTTAAGAAACATTGGCCTGATTCTGTATAAATCGTTACAAAGTTGCGTCATATTTTTGGCACGAGAAAATTAAAATGATGAAATTAGGTGAAACTTTGTTCAAAGTAAGTAACCAAAGCAGAGAAGAACTTTTGAGAAGAACTTTTAATGGACAGAGAATTAAATAGCTTTATGATCTTCGCGTCATTCATTGTATCGATAGAAAGATATTTTTAAGCAAATTTGTAATTTCTATGTAATAAAACTTTAGATTTATATTTAACATCATATTACGTATACGTAAAATATTCGATTTGAGAATATAAAGACAAAATACAATTTTCTTGTTAAATAATATTTTATAAATTAAAATATATTGTAAAAAAAAAAAAAAAGAAAATGAAAACGTTCATCCAATTTTATTTTAAGCGATCCTATTTTTCCATTCTTTCTATCTCTTGATCAAATTCAATAAGAATCACAAGTATACGTGGTCTCTAACGAGCGAAATTAAATCGAAAGGAGGATCGACTGGGCGAGACATATTTGAAATTTCGGCAGAATCGACGATGTCCAGACTGTGTTCCGGCATAGCCAGCCCACTTTTATCAGGAAATGCACAATTTAACAATTGTGTCCAATTATTTTTCCCGAGGCCTCGGTCTTTGATTGGCCATCTTGAAGATCGCATAGCGGCAGCCCTTTGCCCATTCACCTAGTGATCCGTTCATTTTTTGTTTCTACCGATCTGATGATTCAAACATGTCTCGTCTCGTTATCGTGCTATATTCTGCCCTCCTTATTGCTTAAAATGCTTTTTTTTTAATCCTTTATCGTATATCACGCATATGATCACGATAAGGGTAATTATGCAGAATGTAATCTTCGAAACTAATTCCTTGCGACGTTCTGACGCAATTGACTCGATGATCCAACTTGGAAAGGGGTCAAGTATCAAGAAAATGAAAAATTTTAAGTTTTATAATCAAATTCGATGATTTTGTATAATTTTAATCTTTGTAAATTTATAATGAATATTGATCGCGTTTTTAAGAATTTTTTTTTTTTTTCCGTAATTCTATGACTAAGTCGTTTCTCATATATCTCTACTTGGAGAGTTAAACATGTTTTCTTCGTGAATGATAACTATTTGAAAAAATAAAATAAAATAGTTTCGTTGGTTTCTAATCAATTTCATTAGTTTTAATTATATAATGAGATACAAAAATGATCATTAATTTCTAAATAAGATAAACATAAGTGTATCTTTTTCTATTACGTATTATAATTAAAAAAAGAATTTAAAAAATCAAATAAAACAATGGATTAAACACGATAAAAGTAATAGTTTCATTATTTTTACTTATCAGCACACATATATATATATGTATTTCTTATTGATAAGAGTATTCGATACGGCTTGCGAAAAATAAACAAGAAGAAGAAACAAATGATTTGGCATCCAATGAAAACAAGAAATCAATTTTCGATCGAGCGAGATACGATTACTTTTTTTCTGTTCGAACGATCGTATCATCTCAAATATTTTGCAAATTGTGAATAAAAATGATTTTAAAAATAGCTCGATATTTATAAGTGTGTTCCATAGTAGGTATTAAAATATTTTGGTGCGTTTTACCGATTGCGGAAATAGCGATAGCGAGTGTGAATCAACGGAAGAAGAGTGTAGCGTGATAACAACGTGGAGCTGCCCTCCGTACAGTTTACTCGTGGCTCAAGACACAATTTCAATTGACCTATGGCCCCACTCTCAGTCCTCTCCCCTCGTCCATCGTACGCTTTCTGTTCATAGGCCAACATAAGCGTCTTTTCCTTCACTTCGCAACGACCGTCCATCGAAGATGAATCGAAACGGTATGTTCCTCTTCGTCTTCTTTCTCTTCGCTCTGTCCATCGTCTACGCGGAATTAGTACCTTGGAGGCAGTGTCCTTATCCTGATCGTGAGTATTGGATTCTTCCATTTATTTGATTAACGTTTAAAGTGGCAATGATCGATGAATTCGATGAATGAAAAATCAATCGATAATGATGAATTAAGGGAGAAGATATTTCATCTTTTGATAAAATTAATCACTTATTATTCGTAATATGTATAAAAAAAAAATTTTTTACTTGTGCGGTAATATAAGATGTTAGATGTGTCGATGAAACGATTTATCTTAGATTTTTGATCGTTATGTGCAATGAATTGTTCATTACTGTTTCAAATTTTGCTATTTCTTGCATTTAATGAAAAACGACATTTTTTTTTATATATTTTTTTTATAAATAATAAAACATCAAACAAATCGATAAATCGTGTTTCGTTTTGTTATTCGTTAACGAAAAGTAACTATTTTGATTTATATTTTGATTTATATTTTACTTTTGATTATTTTGATATTTTCGTGGAAATCGAAGATTCAAAACTCCTAAAAAATTGCCAAAAATTAAAATAAAAATTTATTAATTCGATAACTATTAATTATAACGTGATAAAATATATTTTTTTAATTTGTTTCTTTAATGATAATTTTATTATATTTTAATTTTTTTTATTTTCCTGTAGTTGTTACAAGTGAATCTCTTCCTCTCTTATTGTTACAAGTTCTATCATAGCAACAGTTCTATCATATTGAAAAAAAATATCGATGATTCAAATGTTTTTAAGATATAATTTGTTTTTAATCTTGCGACATATAGTATATCGAATTTCATTGAAATAATTTCGATCAAATTTTGATTCTTTTTTTTTTTTTCTAATTTAATATTAATGTCACATGTTAGAGACTTGATTATTTTTTTCGATTAATTCAATTAATTTTTTCGATAAATTTAAAAAATCATAAATCATAAATCGTTTCTCATTATGGATAATCTTTAAGAAAAAATGTAAAAATGTCGGCTGATGCTTATCTTTTAAATTATAAGTAATTTAATTCAAATAAGATAAGGCAAGATAGTGAAATGAATCAGCTGATCGACCAGAAGTATCATTGTCGCGATTGATACTTATCTAGTCTTTCAATGAAAAATTCAAAGAGATATATTCATATCATTTTATGCATACAATTTACTCTATTAAATATGAACGCAATATAATACGTGATATGCGAAGAAAAAACAAATTCTAGCTATAGTTTTACATTAACTATTATATTAATATTATATATAATATTAATACAAATTATCTGTAACATATATTTCCACTCAAAATAATGTTGTAATAGCTGTCTAAAAATGATCTTTCTTAAATAAAAATTTAAGGAGAAAAATTTTAAAGAAATTTTTTAAATTATTCTTCATGTTTTTTAAATTTGTGTTATTTATGTATAATATTATTTATACATTATTTTTAATCGAATATAAGTTTTTTTTTCTGCGTGATAAATAACTTTAACTATAATCATAGTCAAAATAAAAATAATCGTTAAAAAATTATTTGCCTAATAAAATTTACTTTTGTATTTTAATCTAATATTTTGATTTTATTCTTTTTTTACAGCCAATACCCAGACAAATTGTACTATTCATGAAGTATATATAGAGCCTTGCAAAGAAATCGCAGAGGGAAAGCCATGTAAAATAAAAAGAGGAGTTATTGGAAACATGACATTCCATTATACGCCTGGTAAATATCATATTATTTATTATAATATAGAAAGAAAAATAAAATTTATAAAAATGATTCATAGTTAAGTTTATGTACAAAGTTTTAAAAAATTTATATCGGAATGAAAAATAATAATAATATGAACTAATGAAATATTTTATTTTTAATTTTTCAGCCTTCTCCTCGGATAAAGTACAAGGACGAATATTTTGGGCAAGTCAGGTAATGGATATTCCATTTTTGGGAATGAATCCCGATGCTTGCTTGTCAACTTCCTGTCCAATTGAAGCAGGATTAAGAAATACATATCACGTGGAAATACCAATTTTAAAGAAATATCCTGTTGTAAGTATTGAAAATAATTGTATTTTATACAATAATGTGTTTTTTTTTAATCATTTCTTAAATCAATTCATTATTCTATGAATTTAGATATAGGAAAAATTCACAAAATTTCATTGTATATAAATTTAAAAAATTTTAATCAATATTATTAATAAATCATAACGAATATTATTTATAACATTTTCCTTTTTTATATTTTTTTTCTTTATGCAGGGACAATTCGAAATTCAATATATTGTTATTTAATCTTCAATTCGTATCAATGATTTACTTGTTTCTGACAATCCTCGAACATTTAAAAAATATTGATTGTCGTTAAAGGTTTCGAAAGTAATAGATTCTATTTTAAACTATGTTGTATTAAAATTTTAATTACATCTGTTTCATTCAATTAATATTAAATTATTAAAATATCAAAATTATAAATTTAATTTACACGTTTTTCTCCTATAGCTTTCAATTATCATAATTTTTTTATTTTATAACGAAACAAAATTCTAAATATAAAAAATTAAAAATATTACGTTAAATTAATCATTTTTGAGATAAAAATGCAACTAATGAAATTGAAGTATAATATAAATAAAGGAACAATTAACAATATATTAATTATAATTAGTTTCTATATTAAAATAATATATATATAAATATTTTTATATTAGATTAAAATGAATATCAATTGAAATATATTTTTGTTTCAGCGAACTTATGATCTTAAATGGAAAATTTGGAACGATGAAGAGCAAGAATGTTGTTTTATGTTCCAAATTAAAATAACAAAATGATATCAAGTATATATGATTCATCGTACCATCACGCTCAATCAATTAATATTTCCGATTCGTTAATTTAATAAAATAAATGGATAATTATCGACAAAATGAATTTCTTTGTTACATTCCTTTTTTTTATTATTCAATTTTTTTAATTTCTTTTTATATTGGAAATTAACATTAAAATACATTATTATTAATAAATAATTTTTCATATTCATGTTAGTTTTTGCATTTTTGATAAATAAAATTTTGAAACTTTTTCATTTTATATAATAATATTCTAGAAAAATAATTATATTGATCTAATTATATTGATCTAATATTGGTCTAAATTATCTTTACATGTTATATATTATTATGAAGATTTAAAGACTTTGTCAAAAGACGATAAGATTTTTTTAAAATAATATTTATATATATAAAAGAAAAGAACTTCAAAAAAAATCGCTACGGATAGGATTCGAACCTATGCGGGAAAAACCCATTGGATTTCGAGTCCAACTCCTTAACCACTCGGACACCGCAGCTTATGCAACGTATCGTTTGAATTCTCTTTTATTAACGTACTTTAATATTAAAATGACAATAATATTAAATAAAATAAAATATGTTTCGATTTTTTATTCATATTATATAATTCTATACTATACAAAAATATACGACATAAATAAATATTAGATTCGAATGGTACTCTATACATATGATATATTTTTTATAAAATTATTAAATTTAATATCTAATAATATTGCAAAATATTATTTAAATTGATAAATTATAAAATTAATAATATATTAGTAAAATTATTGACAATTATAACAATTTTAAAGCATTTTAAAATATTTATTAAAAATCTACAGGTATCTACTTATACTACTATCGATATGATAGTTGGCAACGTAATTTTACTTATTAAGCTACAATATTGAACAAAGAAAGATATATGCGTGATATAAAAGAAATAAATTGCAACAAATGTAAAAGATTCACTTTTAAAGATTTTATTTATAAATAAATTTTAATATATATATTTTTTATTATATTTTATTCTATATAATTTTTCTACAAATTCTTTTATTTATTTTTTAGCTTTTCTTTTAATTTAATATTTGTCTTAATTTCTTTTATCATATTTTTATTCAATTTAGATATATTTTTCAGATTTTAATTAATTTCAGATTTTTTTTTATTTGCTTCTTTTTTTGATTTGATCAATATTTATTTTAAATAATTTTACTTATATATAATAATTTTAAATAATTTTAATTCACTTTTTTTAATTTGAATGATTTTTATATTAAATTAATTATAATTAATATATATTCTTATTATATTTTATTTTTAAATAAAATAATAATTTTTAAATAATATCTTATTTTATCTATATATTAGATAAAATGTCAAAAGAAATATATTATAAAATTTTGAAAGAAATATGCTAAAAATATATGAGAAATATATTAGAAATTATATATAAAATTTTTTTTATAATAATAAATCATTATAATATAATAATCATATTATGTTATACATTTTATTATATTTTATTAATATTATTATACATTATATATATTATATTATTTAAAATATATTTAATTTTATTTTTTTAAATTTATATTATAATATATTATATATATAATATATAATATAATATATAATTTATAATATAATATATATAATATATAATATTATAATAATATATATAATTATAATATAATATATTATAATATAATATTATTTTTGTATTTGTTTACATTTGAAACTTAAAAGTTTTTCGGAAACGTTTACATTCGTAGCACGTTCGACATATTTATACTTACTCGAATTGTTGAGCATATCCCCTCCCCAATTTATAATGTAATATGTCGAATCGCGGCGCGAAGTGTCATTTCGTTGTCGAAACTCGTGGTGATTAGACGCTTTATCAGATATGTGCTTTATTTATCCCATAATATATATTTGACAATTATTCTTTGTATTCTTTATATTATTATTTTATTAATTTTACTAATATACATTTCTTCAATTATTAAATATTAATATCATTGATAATGTTTAAAGAATAATATAAAAATAGAATAATAATAAGAATTTATTCTATTTTTTTATTCGTTAATTAAACTATTAGAGTATTTATATAAAGAACTTTTATAATAGGATTTGAACTTTGTTATTTTATTTTATTTTATTATAATTAATTTAATTTTATACCTTTTATATATTTATTATGTTTTAAAAATGATTTTTTTTATGCATAGATAAATAGCTGATTTCTTGGATTATTTTAAGGGGGAAAAAGATTTTCAATAGATGACAATTTACTTTTTGTGAAGAAAGGTGTGAAGAAAATTTAAATTTTTATATCGAAGAAAACATATGTAAGTATTTTTGTTTTTTTTTACTAAATTATTTAGTTATATATATACACATATTATAAATATGTAATTCACAAATAATTTTTGTAAAAATAGTAGTATAGCAGTAATCAAATAGCAGTATCTTTCTTAATAAATGCTCTATAAAAAGAAGAAAGAAAATATAAAAACATATTTTATTTTATTTTTTTTTTTTTTTTTTTGCATATTTCTACATTAATATAATTTCATTTTTAGATTATAAAATCTAGGATTCATCTTATTGAGGATATATATCTTCTATCTTTCTTTTTTTTATTTTTTTTTATCGATCAAGAATTGATTTGCAAATATAATAGAATACTCTTCGTGTTTTCTTGGAAAATTTAATATATTAATATTGCGAAAATTAGAAAAGATATTCTACTCACAGTTTGTTCGGGTTTATATTGAATGGATTATTTTGATAATTCTTCTGATTATCTTTTTGTCTGTTTTTTTTCTTTTTAGTATTTTATTAAGAGCATTTGTTATTTAAAATATTGTTAAAAAATATATTTCTTCTTATTGATGAATATCTTTCAAATTATTTTCAAATTATTTAACAATGTTTTAATAATTTAATTTTTTTTCCAGCTATTAATGTTTCTTCTCTTTGATATAAATTGTTTTTTTAATTAATTAATCTAACAATTGTTTGTTACAGGTACAATTTTGAAGAAAATAAATAGAAGAGAAGAAGTATACAAAGAAGAAGTATTACAAAATATTTGATATTCTAGAAATTAATTATTCGTTATTGACAAATTATATTATATAGTTTGTTTTACGTATTCTTCATCTTTCAACGAAATAGAAATAGAAGAAATATCTAATTCTTGAAATAAATCTTTCGATTCTTATATGTATAAATAAAATCAAAAGAATATTTAATTTTCTGATAGATAGGATTTATAAATGATATGTTTAATGCCTTCTTCTTCTTAAAAGATATTTTCGTCTTCTTTTATGTTGGATTCTAATATTTCGTGAAATAATATTTCTATTTTTCAATGTGATAATAAATTGTTTGCCATTCTTCAATTTTCTCATTTTAAAACAATCAAATATTTCATAGTTAGATGAATAGTTATCATTGGTCTATTCTTATTTGCATTTTTTTTGATTATATATAATTCATGTATTATATTCTAAATAATTGAAAATTGTTGTTATTATGAACGTAGAAAATTCTGTAAAAATAATATTTTTCGATAGGCAAGATTTATAAACGAAATATTAAATTTTTGTGTAAATTGAGATGTAAAAAGAACATTTAGAATAGATTTTTAGAATGTTTAAAATGTTTTCTATATAAATTTGTTTCAGATAGCAAAAAATTGCATAGAAAAATATTGATCAAATAAAATGTATTTAGAATTAAATCTAATTGCATAATTAAATAGATATATAGTGGATGAAAGAATGTATTATAAATAAGTAGATAATTAATAGGCAAAGTAACTATTTTATTGAAAGTTTATATTCTTTTCTTTTTTTTTCTTACGTTTTTAATTATTAATTATTTTTCATTTTCACAATGATGGAAATGTAAAATATCGATAGACAATCTTTTAACTTAGATTTTATTTTCAAATTTAGTTTTCTGCGCCTTTTTTTTTTTTTTTTTTTTTTTTTTTACTATTTCTTTTATTGTGTGTGTAATTAAAAATTTGAATGTTTTGCAAACACGTACAATAAAATTTAAAAGTATAAATACATACAACTTTTTTGTACTTTTTGAGTATATTATATTGAGTATAGTATATATAGTATACTTAGATTGTTGCACGTTAGATGGCGTGTGAAACACTCTCATCTTTTTCAGGTTGGTATTTCAGAATATATGATGAAGATAGATGTCACGTTTATTATATTTTTTGCTTATAAAGTTATTATGTTATCTACGAACGGTAATGGTAACTATTTTTAATATGGAATATAAAATATAAATTATTTGATTTTCATTATTATTTCAATTTTAATTTTTAAAGAAATTTATTGTGCTTTTTATATAATTCAGCAACAATGTCTGATTTTATGTTATATTTCAGTTTTTATGATTCAGTTTTATTGAACTGGTATAAAATGTGATCATGTATAAGGATTTCCTTGGTTTGCAGTAAAGTTTTTCAGTTTTTTAATTAAGTTTTTTAGTTTTTTGGGGAGGGAGGGGAGTTAAATGAAATAAATTTTTAAATCTTATTTAAAGATTGAATCGGTATCGAATTGAAGGCAATATCTGTGGTTCGATTGATTCATATGAAAGACACTTTCGCTACATCTACTTTCCTAAGAACTCGTTTAATCAAATAGAAGTAGTAAAAAATATAAACATGATTAGAATATACGATAACAACGTATGAATTTACGTGCGATAATAATTGTACATGTAAAAGATATCTTGCTTAAACTATGAGAAAATATTATATAAAATGAGAAATTCGAAGTAGATTGGTACGAATTATTTGTAAATTAATAATTTGGTTATTACTAAAATAATAAATAAGAAAACAAAAATATGGTTATATTAATAGGGAATAGCTGAAGAAAGAATGAAATAAATAAATTTTTTTTTTTGACAAGTAATTATTTTTGAAAAAATATATTCTTATATATTTTCTTCAATTAATATTCTTTTTATTAATTTTTTTTAATCGACTAATAATTTTATAAGCAATTTTTTCTTTAATTTTCGAAATATTGTTATAAATGGATTTGCTTCTCTTTTGATACAATATTCAATTATCAGTATTATTATTTGTAAGTATTTAGAAAAGTCGAATGATTAATAATTGAAAAATCTACCAGGTGTATTTATATTGGTTCAGTATTCTCGAAAAATTGAAAGATCTTCGCAAACAATTTACTGATCATTTAGCTTTCTATTAATTTTAACAAAAGTTTCGCGGCAAAATTTTCATTCTTTCTGAAAAAGCCATTTTTCAATCAGTTCGTCATATAAATATATACTTTTAACGATACAAAAAGCATTTATTCAAAATTTATAAATTTATTCCATTCTATAAATCTATTTATTTTAATTTTTTTATTATCAATCGATTCAGTGGAAGAAATTAAAAGTATTATAAGTGAAACAACGTAAATTCTTATCATTATCAAAATTCTTGAAAAATGTAATTAAATTTTTCGTTCTATCAATTTTCTTATAATATTATATTATAATTTATATTGATTAATTCTTAATTAATGAATCAAATATTGATTCGTTTATGATCTATTGTATATATAGCGAAATAGTCAAATTTTTACAATTCATGTAACGATATAGAGTAATATCAATTTTAACTTTCACATGAAATAACACGAGTCCAAATTGATCCAACTTTGCCAGCTGACAGTGAATACAGGTGTCATATAATATTCAAGTAATATACTTTTACTCCTCGATCACTTATTTCCATAAAAAATTCCATTTTTAATTTGCAAATACGAAATTCACATTGTTTATAATTCGTATAATATGTAATAATTATCACGTATAAATATTTTTCATATTTTTGTCATATTTAACGTAACGTAAGAAAAAGTTATAAAGGATAATTTAAAACACAAAATAAATCGATAAAGATATTTTATAAACAGAAATATGGAAAATTTAATTAAAGATAGAAAAGTATGGGAAATAAAAATATTTGATATTTTTAACGATGGAAAGAATGACGCATGCGATCGGTTCCCGGATCGGCAAGCTACGTCACTGGCCTGTATAGTTCACACCTGTTGCCCTGAATAGAACACGCGAGTGATACGTCACTGGCCGTAAACTGGTGGCACGGCTCACCTGTTGGCCTGAACAGTGCTTGGCTGGGTTGTTGAGCGTGCGGTTCCTTTCGCCCGCCACTGCTTCGCGATCACTTGGTTATCGTGTCTCCGCGCTCTTTGGATGCGTGTTTCCGCGATAGCTTCCCGTAAATCGGTATCGAATCGATTTCACGGTGTCGTTCGAGATCGATTAAATTTCGCTTTGCGCTTGAAAAAAAATTCGCCAACCAATCACTTTTCTCGATGAATAAAATAAGGGTGAGAACGTGAATCGTGAGTGAGAATCGACGACGCCCACAAAACGGAAACCGCGTCATCTGTAGAAGGGAGGAAAGCGAAAAGGGAAGAAGGACAACACCACTTTCTACGGATTCTTGAACGCCGTGAATTTGCGTCCAGCCGGATTGTATGCAAATATCGGAGGAAATATCCGTATCTTACCTCTGTCTCTCTGACCCCACCAGCCTCCGCTCCCGGCTATCGTGTCGTTATTTACGCTGCTGACTAACCTACCCGTGGAAGAGGTCCACTCCGACCGATCGTGCATACCGCACGATCGTTTCGCAGACAGGTAATGCATTCTCTCTCTCTCTCTCTCTCTCTCTCTCTCTCTCTCTCTCTCTCTCTCTCTCTCTCTCTCTCTCTCTCTCTTCTACTGAAATGTTCATCGTGAGTCGGTGTTTTTTTTATTAGTTTTGAATTGGATTCGTGTTGGTCAAGATTAGAAAAATTTCTAACGAATTTAGAATAGGAGAAATTCAAATATTTTTATAAAATTATGTTTATTTGATATTATTATATATTACTATTTATTTCGTTTTTCATTTTTTTTATTTATTAATAAAATATATCGTAATGTCTATATAAATATTATATTCGTGTTTTTATAAAAAAAAAATTAAAAATTTGTGTGAATTTATGAACATGAATGGGGAATATAAAATAAATCTAACAAAGGAATTATCGTAGTTATAATGACGATAACGCGATGAAAATACGTGATTGATACGGAATGTATGCGAAAATTTACACGATACGTTTTAACCTTGGGATAAACTTGGATCAAATTTAAATTGGATTTCGAGGAAGATAAGATGTCTCGTTAAATGTCAAAATATCATGTTATACGTCTTAATAATAATGAATTTTATTGAAAATTTTCTTCAGAATTTAAATAGAATTAATAGAAAATTGGATTTCGTTTATTTCGAGGAATAAATATTTTCGTTATTTTTATCGGCACGATAAAACATGATAAATTAAATTCAGCAGGATAAATATTGTGACTCATGATATTTTTATTTAGAATACAATTTTTCTTTTTTTGATTTCTTTTTTTTAATTAGTATATTTTTATCGTTAATAGTAGCAATTCAAGTATTAATTTATCGGAGAAGTAAATTGAAACGTATATGTGTTAATTTTTAAAATAAGATTAAAATAAGCGAGGAATTTTCAATATAATTTTTCTAATATTTCTAATACTTTGTTTGTAGCATTCATGGTGAAACATCTTGTACGCGTAGTAACGAATTTTGCATTACAAAATAGGTCAATCGTGTGTTTACTATAGGTATTTAACATAATCTTGTTTTGAAACAATATCTTGAAATGAATAGTTAATGCCATTAATAATTAGTAATTATAAGTTATAACGCTTTTGAAATTCCCTTTTCAAAATATCATACTATTTTTATTTCTATTATTTTTCCAGATTATTAAAAGATAAAATTGTTCAAATTGTTCAAATTTGATACTTATTTTATACTTATTATACTTTGTACACGTATGTATGTTTATTCGAAGTAGAAATGAAACTTTCGAACATCTTTAAAATATTAAATAAAAGATTGACGTAAAATTAAATGTTGTTAAACGATACAATTAGCCAATCGATGAATCTGATAGTATAGAATAATTTTTCAAAAATGCGTAATAACGTTGAAATTGTTTATCATATAAAATCATATTTATATTATAGAACATTATCTATTGTAATCACGTACGACATCGATATCTGCTTGAAAGAAAATCGAATTACTTCGTCGCAATAGGTTGATACGATTAACAGAAAGCATAACGCGTTGCGCGATTTCCCTCTCCATGGTGTGCGAAATTTTGTTTCGTCAGTGAGTGATCGGTGAAAGCACTTCCCACACCTTCGAAACGGATTACCATATTCAACTTTTCTCTAAAAATCATTTCGAATCGATGAAAATAACATTTGATCGAATGTTATTCGTTTTGCATTCGATCCCATAAAAGCTGCACAATTTGATTGCAAATTGATTAGAAAATGACAATCCGGTAATCGAAATTCGTGAAAATCTCTTTTTTTCGAACCAATAGCTGTAAAAAAAATGTATTTTGTTTGATGTTTATCTGCTTGATATCTGAAATGATATCCGTTAACTATAAAATACAATTTGTTGTTCAATAATTAACGATTATTTGATTTATCAAATTAACTGTTTTTTTGAGTAATAAAATAAGTTAATAATATAGATTATGTTATATGAATAATACACATAAATATATTTGATTAACTGTTCTTAAGCAATAAAACAAATTAATAACGTGGATTATATGAATAATACGTATAAATATATCGGATTAACTGTTTTTAAGCGATAAAATAAGTTAATAACATGAATTATGTTATGCGAATAATATGTGTGTGTGTATATATATATATATATACATATACACAAGATAATACATATATATATATATCGATCTATTTGTTCGTTTTGCAGAGTTTTNTATATATATATATATATACATATACACAAGATAATACATATATATATATATCGATCTATTTGTTCGTTTTGCAGAGTTTTTATACTGTAACGAAGTTTTTAAAATGAACCGCTTCGTTACGAGATATCTTATAAGATACATTTATAATTGTTGTTGTCTATTAAATGGAATAAAGATAATTATTTTCACGAATAAAAGTTTTTTTTTTCATCTTTCGCATCTTTCTTTTTACAATATATGAAAAAATAACGAGAATTTTTGGTATTTCTTATTCGATAGGAAGAAAGAAAAAGAAAGAAAGATTAATTGCACAACGAATGGTCTATTTTCATTAATATGATTTCACCGAGGCTGCAAAACGTACAATAAGTAAACGTACGTACAGAAAGTAAGTAGAAGTTAAGGGCGAGAGTGTGGACGGCGAACCGTAAAGAAGATATCGCCGTGAGATTTTTCAATCGGCACCGTTATTGCGTCCTGCTTTTTTTTCGCGCTATCAACGCGCCACCGATGAGAGATCCACTCTTTACGTGTCACGACTCCGTGTAGTTAGACAATACCAAGAGAAATTACGGTGGTGAATGTCGTGAGAAACTCGGCACGCCGTTGGCCCATTGTCACAATTCAGACCTCGTAATTGGCAAAGCGGTACGCTTCGAATCTTGTTCTCTTTATTTTCCGCTAAATCTTCCTTCGTAGAAATTTCGTATCTCGTTTGTTCTTCGCCGAACGAAAGAAAGAAATAATTTTCTAAAAATTTATAAAATTTCCACTTTTTTCATATACGTTATTATATATATATATATATATATGAAATAAAATTTTGAAAGGAATTAAAAGATAACGCGCGAATTATTTTTCAAACAATTACAACGCTGATATTGTTCTCCTATCTTTGGTAAATGGAATATAATAATAAGGCACGGTGTGTTTTCGTGACGGGGAACACGTTGTTTGCGATTAGTTGCGATAAGTGTCAAGGTTGTTGGAATAGTGAATCGCAAGATGGTCGTTTAGCTCGTCCACGTATATAACGTGGAAAATTGTCATAATTTTGGAAGGATAATATCGGCATCAAGTTTATTGTTGAGAACCTTCACAGTTTAATCATAGCGATACGTAATAGAATTGCAAATTAAGTTTTTAAAGACATATTCTGCTTGGATATTGGACTTATTGATGACACATATGCTCGTTTAATAAAAGTATTCGAACATTCTTATTTTATGTACTATGATTTTAATTCTATTAAAAAAGAAAAATTATTCTTATAAGAAACTTAATATAGAATTATATTTGTTTTATATAATAAAACAAGATAAATAATAAATGATAAATTGAAAAATTTATTTTATTATGAAAAACGAAATAATGATAGAGAAAAAGCAAAATTGATATATATACGTATCCTTCGATCGAAATATTCGTGTGATTATATCGATAAAAGGAAAATGATGCGTTATTTGTTTTATTAAAAAAAAAAAAGAAAAGAAAAGTCCTGATTTAAAAATGATTTTAAAATATTGTTCTAAAATATAAATAAACCGAAAATCGTGTATTACGTGGTTAGAAAGTAGATAAGTTTCAACAGAGCTGGCGCATTAATTCTCTCGTCGACACGTGAATGCACAGCTTGCATAGTATTGCAGTTTACTGACCTTGGTGCACACGATCGCGTGTTCCTCGATAAACGAATCGGTAAATCGATGAATTTTAGGCAAACATTTGAAACGTTTGTCTCGAAAACAGCGAAGAAAACGTTTTAACGATCGGTCGAAATAGTTATAAATCAAAATACATATTGGAGAAGGTTTGTCTGCTAATTGTATGCTCGGTACATGCAAATGCATAGTTTGCATCGCGTTGCAGTTGAGTGACCTCCAAGTCCAGTATATGCATGTAGCAATGGCGGCAAAGTAGAAATCTGCTAACGCGAAATTCACTCGATTGGAATTTCAATTATTCTACGAAATTATATCAATGGCGATAATAACGTTTTATTTATATGCGGTATACGATATATTCTTGTTTCAAATAATTAATTAATATTAATCTTAAAAGAGAAGTTATTAGAGGATGAGAAGAATGCTGAAAAAATTGTAACGTTATAGCGGTTTTTGGATGATTATTCGGTTATTATATTCGATTCATAAAATAAAAATATAAAATAATTTGTTAATAACAAAAAAAGATATATTAGAAGATATTTAAAATTTGAAAAGTTACGTATCTTTTTATAATTTAAAATTATTATTTCCATCGTTCGTAGAAGAAGAAACGATTTGTCTCGCTTCGCTATGTTTCTATTCAATACGTTGCGTATACAAAACGCGTTTCTTGTTTATGGAGCTCTTAGTTGAACGCAATGTGGGATGATGCTATTATGCAAATTTCGGTACTATATCCTTCGTGCTAATGACACAGTAGCAAGAGACGGAGAATTAACGTTGAATAAAATTTATGCAAGTATAGTCGTCATCGATTTTCCAACTTCTAATCACGCGCCAACGTCGCGCGTTTCCCTCTACGCGTGTTGAATCTTAGACATACTGATAACGGTCTACGCGCATACCAAATCGATTTTTTGCATTGACGTCGATCCCACATACTGTTTTTAATTGTACATGTTTTTAATTGTATATCTCGAACGAGTAATTTTGATTCTTCAATTATAATAAATAATTTTAATTTTAATTCGCGAGGATATTTGGAATAAATTCTTTGCACCAACGTTTCTCAACCTTTTCAATTATATTTTAAAACTACGATAATTAGATTTACGATATACTATAATTTTTGATGAATTTG